CTGTTTCGTATCATCCTTAGAGATCGCACAAATGCTCCTTTGCCTCAAGCCTAGTCTGAGATTTTAAACTAGTGAGTAAACTCTCACAGATATACACATAGGCATGCATGTGGCCAGAGCAGTTGTTCCTTCCAAAGACCTAGTACCAGTTTCAAACAGGTTCAGCCTCATTCAGGAAAGATTTGGTGGCTGGAGTTGTTTTGGCACCAACTGACTTGACTTACAGACACTTAAAAGTACCTCCTAAGTTTGTTAAACCCATCTTGCTCAACAGATTTCTTTAAGTTCCCTTGAAAGTTGCAAAACTTTAACAGTTATGAGATCAGTATTGATTTAAGGAATAAATTACTTCTTTCTGCAAGACCAAGCTCTAAATATTGTTTATGTACTGCTAAATGAAATTAGTTGCGCCAGATATTACAAAAAATAAAATAAATAAACTGGAAAAAAAACACCAAACACTAAAAAATCTAGGGATGTAAATATTTGTTTGGCAGTCTGCTGGCTGCTCTAAATCTATGACCAAATTTTTCTATATGCTCTCTTAAGCACTGATGCAGTTAATGCAAAAGGAGTGCAAAGTATGCAGTTCATTGTAAGGTTTGCCCCTGCCTGACTGTGCTTCTCTCCATTACATCAGGGTGATTGATGGACGAAACCTGCTGCCTTTACTGCAAGGAAGAGCTCAAAAGTCAGATCATGAGTTTCTATTTCACTATTGTGGGTCCTACTTGCACGCAGTGAGGTGGCACCAAAAGGACAGTAAGTATAAATGTTTGTTCCATGGTAACTGCAAAATACGAATTTTTTCCTCTTGCTAATAGACAAATTTCTTTCATGGCTGTTGTTTCTCAGTACTGAGATTCATGAAATGGTTATGCATGACATAGCACTGACTCTTGCTAGCCAGAGATGTCTTAAAGCAATGAAGTTTTTCTAAGTAGCAAAGGGAATGCCTTAAAGTGGGATGAAAATACAGGCAGTTTACTACCACAGTGGAAATTCAGTGTGGGTTTTTTTCATATTTATAGACTTTTCCATCTTCCAAGTCAGAAGTCTACACAGATAATCTGATTTGTGGTGTTGGGGGTGCCAGGGTGTGTGAGAAGAGGTCTCCTTAGTAAATAGCTGTATTCCTAATGCTTCAGGGAACTTTCCATTTTTCTCTACAGCCTTGTAGTTATGCCATAAGATTTCTTTCCTGCCAGGTGGAGCCATTTGGAAGGCTCACTATGTGACCCCTATCTTCAGTCCTCCTGGAGCTGGGGCTTGTTACGGAAAAAAAAATTGCCCATGTTTTGGGGAAGGCGTAACCCATCATGATCCTCCACTGCTATTTGATCTCTCACGAGACCCTTCTGAAGCCAAACCTCTCTCAGCTGACACTGAGCCCCTCTTTGACACTGTCATAAGGAAGATGGGAAGAGCCATCGAAGAGCATCGCAGGACACTGACTCCAGTCCCGGAGCAGCTCTCTGTGTACAACGTGGTGTGGAAGCCGTGGCTGCAGCCGTGCTGTGGGACATTCCCATTCTGCTGGTGTGATAAGGAAGGCGACAGCACACAAATTTTGTGAGATGTGTGTTCTAATAACATGTCCTGTGGCACTGAGTCCTCTGCTGACAAAGGTCTCAGATAATAATTGTGTCTTTTCTTTCTCTGGGAAGCACAGTGGATGAAAAATAAAAAAAAATAAATTTAAAAAAGCAATGTTAATCAGACGTTCTCCCTTTCATTTTTTGCCACTGCAAAAGGTTTAAGGAAATCCTGTTTTTGCAGTCTTGCATGTAAGAGAAAACTGTAGAGGTACATGCCTAATCTCTGACTAACTTATGCCTGCTCAAGGGAGACAACTGGAGAACGCTGCAGAGAGCCTAGTGTACAGTGCTGGGCAGGCAGCAGTAAGAAATGCTAGGTTCACATAAAACTCAAGATGTTTGCAGCTGTGTCTCTGTATCCACAAGTCATGGTTGCACTCCATCCAAACATAGTAGTTTGAGTTGTTACTGCTTCTTGTACTGCTCTGTTGTCTCTGCAGAAATACCAATGGGATGTCGAACAACACCTGAGATGGAGTGAATCTGATTTAGTAAGGGAGTGTCCTCAAGTTGTGAACCTGTGATCTGAAGCTTTAGCTGGGTAAATATTACCTACATCACAGACACTGTGAAAAACAAACTGCTGACATGCAGTATAGCTCTGCAACAGTTACAAAAAAGACAGAAGCATTTTTCTTTTTAGAAAAAGGTTCTGTTGCATACCAATTTGGCAAAAGCAATTTTATTGCATTTAAGATGCTAATAAAAATGTTTTGGATTAATAATTTTAACTGTTTCAATGTGAATCCTAGAAAAACAAGGTTCATCTGAGTATTGAAGTAAAAAAATATCCAGTAGTAGTATATATATTTTTATGAACTACAACTTGTATAAAGAGATCATGCCAATACTAGTTAAAAAAACCTACAAAAGAAACCAAAATGAACAAAGAAAAAAACCTGCAGTGCTGTGACCCTAGCCTGACTTTTTAAGAAGAGAATTTTCACTGCGTTTTGCAATGAAATAACACAGATTTTCGGTCTTTGAACTGTATTAATGGCTGTATTTTTGCAGGAGTAGATTAAGTCAGAGAACGTTGTAAGCATCCTGCTAGGATTCTAGAGAAACTGGTGGTTGAATTTAGTAAGTGGAAAAAGTTTATTGTAGTTTGTTTGTTGTTTTGCTTCCCCCATCAAATATCCCTGCAAACAGTTTACTTGTTCAGCTAGTTTAGTTGGTTAACACTTTTCTTCTTCTCTCTTAGTGATTTTTTTTTTCATAGTGTGGCATAGAAATGATTTTAAAAAATTTTGTATGTCATTTCAATATTTACGTTTTTCACTACTCTAAGTTCACTCAGAAAGCTTGTCAAAAGGAAAAGGGCCTAAAGGAATGCCAGGGATTGCTTTTAGTACTCAGACGTGCAAAAAGCCAGAAAGAAGTACACAGTGACTCAAAATAAGGTTTTGCTGGCAGAGAATTTTCCTGTGTGAACAGGGAGTAAACAGCAGCTTCCTGTGCTCAGGCGCAGTGAAAAGTTGGTTAGTTGAAGAGCAGGAAATACCACAGGGCTCAAACTGCAGAGATAAAAATCATCTCCCTGCTTCAGTGTTACTTCTTTACTTTTTTTTTGTTATTGTTGTTAGAAAAAGTCTTTGTTTAAAATTTAGTTCTGTTAAGACAATGAGTAATCACAGCTGTTATCTCTGTACTGCATCACTAACGCAGTGGTGAGGAACAGAATGCAAGGTCTTTGCTTCCAGATAGTTTTGTTAGCAGGAAAAAATGTAAAGGTGTGGGATTCTGGGTGGAGGGAAGGGATGGTGGGGTATCAGTTTGCATTTTTAAGTCATGCCAGCAGAAGCATGGGCACATCTTCAGTCGTGAGCACATGTGATAAAGATGCAAACAGTCGAGAAAGACTGAAAAAAAGTTTAGTCATAATGTGGACCAAAGCCAGGTGAAAATTAATGCTTTTGTTATTGGCAGTGTTTAAAGATCTGCCTTTCCCAAAGCACTATGTAATTTTTGATAATTTTTTCAAGAAAAATCTTTGCACCAGAAGCACCACAAACTGTTAAGCAGTCATACAAAATAAGTATTATAGTCAAACAGATATGAGTAAAAGTAGCCCCATATGACAACTTGTACTGCATTCAGTTATTTTTGTAAGGAGGTCAACAAATAAAAAACCTCCAGCCCTGGTAATCCTTGCTACGGGCTTATATGAATCTGATAGTTTAAGCTGCTTCAACTTTCTACCTCATGGCTCCTACTGACTTCTCTAGAACACAGTCTTAAATTCAGTAGTCACTGTATTCAAGCAACTTGGAGAAGCAAAATGTCAGCAAATAGAAAGAGCTCCTTCAAGTAGATGCTAAAGACCTTTTGACCTGTAAAATGTATTACAACAGAGTTAGGATCTGAAAGAAGGGGGGTAGAGACTAGATGTTCATATTTTGGGTGTAGGGGAAGAAAACATAATTTAGGTATGTCTACCTTTCTAGAAAATGTAATGAAAACAAAAAGACAACATGATAGAAGAAAAGAGGGAGGACAATCCTTTTATTCCATCTGGAAGGCTGAAAAAGCTGTGTGGGAGAACCAAAACCCTTTATAGCATCTCTTGTTTATTATTTATAGCACCTCTTTTAAAGCACTGAAATAGAGCAGTGAGAGACTTAATACAAATTTGCACAAAATAAACTGGATAGGGAATCTAGAAAAGGCAGTAGCCGTGTTGTGCCAGTATTTCGAGAATAAGGACTTTGTACTCTGCCTGGAATTCATGTAAAACCTGCATAGCAGTTCCAGTTTGCTGGCTGTTCCTGGCAGGGATCCCAGGTGGTGTCCATGCTGGAGGTGGGGGAAGGGAGAGCAAGAGGAAAAGAAGCAAGTCCCAGCCCACTTTTGCCCACACACTTCTTAGAGGATCAGGACTGCTCGGCACACCAAGAAGCAAGAAGGATTTCGGAACAAAAAGAACAATTGAGACAAGGGTTTGTTTGTTTTCCACATGTAAAAAGGGGTTGGCCTTTTTTTATTAGTCCTGATGATCATTTATCATGGCTTACCAGCTTACAGAGGGAATTATTATCTGACATATTATTGGATTTCTCTAAGAAATTTCTGATTTCTGGAGGCTGCTGTTCAATTTATTTCATTTACCAGCTAAGGAAACTGGACAAGCCCTAGGGTGCAGTACTGGGTTCATCACGTCCTGGCACTGTCAGTGAGAGCTCTACTTTCCGAAGGAATCAGAACCTAAATGAGAAATGTGAATATGCATATTTAAATTATAGGGGTTTGTAATGTTTGGTACTTCTTCTACTCCTTCAGTAAGAGCAATGCTTCTAAAATGGCTTGCAGTAAATCAGATGGTGCCACAGCCAATGGTAATAGATTGAAGTATCATTTTAATACCACCAGTGCACCTCCCTGGTTCAAAGCTCACAGTTTTCCTGAGAGGTGGTACAAAGTCTCTGTCTAAATACTGGCATGCGTGCTGTGACCAGCTGGCTGTGGTGCAAGAACCTGTGGGGAGAAAGTGGACAGTGGACAGCAGCAGAGCTATTGTAGCAGCTCTGAAGGCTTATCAGCTCCCTAGGAACTCATGGTATTTCTTAGATGTTCAGATCTGTCTGGTTCTTTTTCTCCACTACAGCTCACAAGGGGTATGATGATCCTTCGCTACTTGGTATAGACTGAGAACATTTTCATTGCTATAGTTTTGGCCTAATCATGTACCACAAGCTCTTTAAATGCAATGCTGTCTAACAGCTGCTGGGAAGGCAGAGCTCAGACATAATTGTTAAAACACCATAAAGATATCACCACTATATATGATGACCAGAGCCATCACTCGTTCTTTATTCTCACAGGTTAATGCCTTCATGCCCTTGCCTGATCATCATCCCAGCTCTGTCTTGTGGGACCACAGTTCATTGGGGTTTCAGGGGAACTGCAGTCAGGCTGTGATAGTGAAACACCACTACACTGCCATCTCAAAAAAGACTTGAGATCCTAGTACTGTTTGTTTACAAATAGGTTTTGAGTTGTTATAGAAAGTAAATATTATAATTACTTTCAATCTGTTCCTTAATACAGCCGACAACACCTTTGTTCTTGTGCTGTTTTGAAATGGAAAGAAGGGTTGAAAAGTGGGGATTTTGCATGGATAGGGCATTTCAGATTTTTCTATCCCTTTTCACAATGAGGGAATGAATAGCATATCTAATTTAGCACAATGTACACCATGAAGATGAGCATGTGCCAGTCCCCAGTGGAGCCAGTTTACCTCGTACTTCTACATGATTGTTTGCACAATTCCAGTGCAACATTTTCTGAAGATTTCTTAGGCTATTCACAAGGGAAAGGAGTTCATTTCCCAAGCCATTCTTTTTCCAAAGAGTGTGTTCTCTGTTTCAGCAAGTGTAGAAAATTGCTTCCTCTCATAAAGTTTGCCTTGTGAGACAAAAATAAATATTCAGAAAATGAGAGATTATTTCTAGATTTTTAAAGGTTGAGTTCATACAGTTGACAGGTAGAAAACCCAGCAAATTAAATCTATAAATGGCATTAAGCTTTGGAGTTCTTTAAGGAAAGAAAGATATTTATGTTTACTGATAGTTTTTCTGTAACATTCAGAGATAAACACCGCTTTGAATGTACCAGATGACATCTAAACATAAAAACATTAGTCTCTTCCCTAAGAATTACACTGCAAATATTAGTTTCCAGGATGGCTTTTATTTGATGTACTTTTTGTGTTTTCTAATCTCACAGTAAAGGTTAGATTATTTTTCCTAAAGTTGAGCTGAGGTTAGGTAAAAAGTGAGATACTAGTTTTCCTTACCACTACCTCATTTGTAAAATGGTGAAAACCTTCCTTTCAGAGAACTCCAACAGTTCTATTGCATGTATTGCGTAATAGGCCCCTCTGGCACTTTTTTAAAGCCATTAACATTTAGCCTTCTCCAGATTCCCACAAGTCCCCCTGGAGTTATCAGCAGCTGAGAGCAGTCCAGATTTTTTGAAGAACTGTGTGCAGCATCACCGGAAGTGCTGGGCTCTGATTATTTAATTTTTTTTTTGCTTTTTCACCAGAATTCATATGACCAATTATGGACCTGTTTCATACAAGGGAAAACTATAAAGTTTACCAGGGAAAACAATGGTAAGAAAAGCATTCACTGAGGGTCTTTCCTGGCTTTTAGGTGTTGTTCTTAAGAAAATGTAAACAAATCTCTCACTTTGCCACCCCTGCCTCAACTCATTGAGAATGTAAGAGTAGCTAATACTGGTTTGGATTTATTAGTATTTCAAGACCTTTTACCCTACTTTTACAAGACATGGAGGTTTAGGAATATGTATAATATGTACTATAGGACTTACTATGCTTACTATGTTACTACTAGTATTTACTATGCATTTAACACATCATAGTATCTATTAATGAACTATTTATTAATGAACTCAGAAGATATGTTCTAGCATGTGTATTTTACTTCAGGTGAGTATCTGTAAGCTTCTGACTGCAAACAGCTTGAGCAACTAAAACATGTACAGAGATATTCTTAGGGTCTTCAAGGAAGATAATCAAGTTTAACACTGTTGCTGCACCCTGATTTTGCAGATGGTCCCAAGGCTTAAGGAGTGCTTTTCAAACACTGTATGTAGGAATGGGTGCAGTAGATGCAATAGTCAAGCCATGGCCATAATGATCAGCATGACTACACACCAATTACTTTCATGTTCTTGTCCCACTCATTCCAGGAGCCTTAACAGGAGCATCCTACACCCCTGTACAAGGAGTGCCTCAGGACACTTGCAAGTATCCAACCACTCAATTTACTGGGAACATCTGCAGAGATCAGTGCCTATGTCGATAAAGAAATGCAGACACAAAATTCCTATGTGAATAAATAACAATAATAAATAAATCAATAATATAAAAATCATAATAATGTTAACAATTACTGATAATAGAAAGCTCAAGGACTTTTTTAAATATTCAGGAGCTCCATCTACTGGCAGTATTTGGTTGCTGTTTGCATCTGTACTAAGTCCCCACAAAACTTTAAGAATAATTGTTTAAAGTCTGTTGTAAAAACTTGAAATTGTTTTTTGTAATATTACTTCTTTACTTTTACTTTTAGGAGCTATTTAAACATTTGGCTAGTTTTATGCTTGTTTCCAAGAACCTGTGTATCGAGTCCTACAAAACCTAATTTCTTACTGATACTGGCCGATGATCTTGGTATAGGAGATGTGGGTTGCTACGGCAATGATACAATAAGGTATGATATAAATTATCTCTTCCCGGTGAAATTAAATTTAAAAAGTACTGATGACAATATTAAAAAAAATCAGTATTAATTTATTAGTTTATCTGGAGACACTTCTTTTCAAACTATGTACAAAATGGTTGCTCTACAGTAATTCCTACTGTAGTCATAATTATACAGGCATGCTTGAGAAACTTTCTTGGACTTAGAACTTTGCAATTGTGTCTGTGCACTGTATTTGTCAGGCATGTGTATAATGTGCAAATTTCCACAACTCCAAGGCTGAAATATGAAGGACTGAGATTAGAATTTAATATCAGTTAACAACTGTAGTAGGATTTTTAGGAAATGACAGCTTAGACTATGTGATATATCTATGCCTAGTGCAGTTATCAATTAGTACATATATTGATTGAGAGAATGATTGTAGGGAGATCTTGTCTTTGCTCTAGCCTATTTTAGTTTTGGATATTGTGTTGTACTGTATCTATTAACAGACTCTTTTTCCCTATGCTACATCAGATTTTGATATGAGATAGACCTGAAATATCTTCTCTTCCCCCCTCCCCCCCCAGTTTTTTTGTTATTAATAAAAATATACGTATCCATGGAAATCTAATTTATAAGGAGTCAAGGTATCTCAAAAATATATATAACACAGAGCTTTTCTATTTGAGTTGCAGGTAAACAGATTTTTGTAAATTTGATGGTGATGTTCTCCACAAAACTAAGAGGAGTGGGATACCATGAACTTCTGTGTAATGTGTTTTTATCAGAGACGGGATTTTTCTCTTTAGGACTCCTAACATTGATGGCTTGGCAAAGGAAGGAGTGAGACTTACTCAGCACATTGCTGCAGCTGCTGTCTGTACTCCAAGCAGAGCCGCTTTCCTGACTGGCAGATACCCCATCAGATCAGGTTGGGCCGCTCTCTAATGGTTTGATGCAGTTAGTCTAGTCAGTGTTGATATTAAAAATCCCCTTAAATAAACAATTTTAAAGACTAGTTAATCTTGGGCTTTGGAGTTTCAGTGGGGTGAGAAAAAATAAGAGATGACTAACGATTGATTTCTATGGGAAAATGCCCACATAAAGCACATTTAATGTGGCTAAATGGATGAAAATCTAAACAGCACAAAGCACCTAGAGACAGAAGAATGAAGAAGAAAATTGTGCAAATGCTGTCTGTTTAGTAGTATTAAGATTATATTAAATGCAATATTTTTAATATCCTGGCAAATTTTTTCACAGTGAAATGCACCAGACTGTGGACTAGTTCTCAGTTATTATGTTTTAAAAATTATTTACTTTAGTCATGTAAATTCATGACGGAAAACTTCAGCTATCATATTGCCAGAATATGGCAATAGTAATCAGTACAGCACCTCTGATGTGATTCTGATTTGTTTAAGGAGAAATGTAATCATGAACTGTGCATTTCAGAAGTGTGTACCCCTGAAATTTTATACAGAACCTTTTGTTCTGTATAAAACTTTTCTTTTTTTTTTTAACATTATATTTTGATAGAACTTTGATTGTAAGATGTTCCCTAATGTCCAAACATAGCCATCTTCCTGCCATTTGTAGATACCCCACTGTAGCTGAGGCATCTGCATTGGGGTAGCATATAATGACAAGGGAACTGGAAGAGACATAACTCTGGCAGTCAATCAGAATATCCCAGGACATACTAAGTGGTTTTTAAAAAGGCACTAGGCTTAGACAACTGAGCCCCATTCATTAGAAAGCACAATCTGAGCAGACTGAAAATCTGAAATCTGGCTTGTATTTTAAAGACCATTATTCCTCTGTAGGCATGGCCTCCAGCACTCAACAGCAGATTCTCTTTTGGAACGGGTGTTCCGGGGGGCTTCCACCAAATGAAACTACTTTTGCCAGAATACTGCACCAGCAAGGTTATTCTACAGCACTTGTAGGTATGAGACAGAGCAACTTGTTGCCTTTTCATTGCTTGTTATTCAGATTAGGCTGATTCTGTAAATACACTTCTGTTTTGCAAAGTGTCCAGGATCAGTTAAACTAGATTTTCTTGTACGCACAAGTTTCAGAATCAGTAGGGTTTTTAGAATGCTACCCACAAGTCCCAGTGTCAGCAAAGCATATCTGACAGATCCAAGATGAGGATATATGGAATACATAGATACACACTGCAAATGGAAGTAAACCCCCAAAAAAGAATCTTGTTTGCCCAGTCCAGATTGCTTTAGGATGAACAAACAGAGATTTTTTCTAATCTGTTAAAGCAGAAAAATATTGTCTGCTGGTTGGTACTGAGACACCAGTGGTCCTAATTGTATAAGCTTCAGCACAGTGGTCTTAATTATATCGACTTCAGCAAGGTTTTTGACACTGTCCCTCACAACATCCTCATAGGCAAACTCAGTTTGGACTGGATGAATGGACAGTGAGATGGATTGAGAACTGGCTGAACAGCAGATCCCAGAGGGTTGTAATCAGTGGCACGGGGTGTAGTTAGAGGCCTGCCACTAGTGGTGTCCCCAGGGGTCAATACTGGGCCCAGTATTGTTTGACATATTCATCAATAATGAAGATAATTAGGGGACTGAAGCATTTGTCTTATGAGGAAAGGCTGAGGTAGCTGGCCTGTTCAGCCTTGAGAAGAGACAACTGAGAGAGAACCTCATCAATATGTAGAAGTATCTGAAGGGAGGGTGTCAAGAGAACGGATTCAGGTTCTACTCAGTGGTGCCAAGCAGTAGGACAAGAAGCAATGGGCAGAAACAGGTGCACAGGAAGTTCCACCTGAAAATAAGGAAAAACTTTTTTACTGTGAGGGTGACTGTGTATTGGATCAGATTTCCCAGGGAGGTTGTGCAGCCACCCTCACTGGAGATATTCAAGAACTGTCTGGACATAATCCTGCACAATGTGCCGGGACAACCCTCCTTAAGCAGAGAGGTTGGACCAGACGACCCACTGTGGTCCCTTTCAACCTTACCCATTCTGTGGTATCTAGTGGCTAGATTTTCTGTTATTTAAGCATCCTGCTTATCACTGTTGGGATGCTAAAACTTCCTTTATTTTTGCAAAACAAAACTCTTCCAAAAAAGCTCAAAGAATCCCTTTTACTTCAGTGGGCCTTGGATCAAAATACATGTCCAAAAAAGAGAAAATCCTGTTAACTTTTTGCTAATTTTGACTGAACAGCAATTAAAGGCTGTGTGTTTCAAGCACCTTTCCTTTTTAAACAACTTTTGATGTAGTCAGAAGTGTAATGTGCTTAGTTGTAATTACTATGCTTTTCACACCTCTGCTCAGTTCTGCACACTGAGGTGTCATTTACTTCCTAAACTGAAGCAAGTCTCAGTGATGTACTGACTTCACACACTACTCACTGCTGTCTAATATAGCTTATACTGTAAACTACATTCATATACACAAGTGCAGGACTGGTCAGCAGTTCTCAGAAGTTAACTCTCTAGGTAATAGCTCCTAAGCTCATGGTTATAGACTGTCTGTCCTTCAGTGTCAGGATAATTACACTGCTCTGTAATATGACTTAATTAAGGTTCATTATCAGTGTATTACATATTCTGATATATCCAATTGTACTGGATAATTGGAATGGCCTATTTCTGCTACTCATTTTAAGATGAATATGGCCACACAGAGCCAACACATATGTCTTCGTCCTGAAATTTGTTCCAGGACTATGAAGGTCTGATAGAAATTGTGTGTAAAATAGTTCGTATTTTTGCACTTAGCTTTTTCTTTTGACACAAGAATTTTTTCAGTTTCTCCCCACCAGGTTACCTGTTAATGTATGGCTACTTCATCAGGTGAAAAAAAAATAAGCACCAACTATTGCAACCTCATTTGTTCTTTTTCGAGGACATGTCTAAGCTGGGTCATTGCCCTGCATGGAATTTAAATAGATAGGCGAGGAGAAGCAGCTGTTCTAGACAGATAAAGTGCCAATGCATCGTTGCTCCCTGAATCTGTCCCCATTCCACACTAGCTCCTCCCTCAGCTGCACCTTTACTGAGAGGTGCAGCCAACCTCTTAGAAATACAGGCAGACACACCCAGGAGTCATGATGTTGGATTGAAGATCTTTATTTTGTATTTTCAGGGAAGTGGCATATGGGTGTGAACTGCAAAACCCGCCATGATCACTGCCACCATCCTTTAAATCATGGTTTTGACTATTTTTATGGCATGCCTTTTACCCTTGTGAATGAGTGTCAAGGCACAGACGACCCTGAACTGGCCAAGTCTTTGCAAGATAGGTATTGGCTTTACACACAGATGATCACCCTTGCAGTATTTACTCTTGTGATTGGAAAACTTGCCAAGTTTTTCCCAATAAAATGGAAAATAATCATCTGTCTGGCCGTCTGTGGTCTCCTTCACTTCCTCTCCTGGTTCTCCAGCTATGGTTTCACCAAGTACTGGAACTGTATCCTGATGAGAAACCATGATGTCACTGAACAACCTATGAACCTAAACAAAACTACTTCTAATATGCTGAAGGAGGCAGTTACATTCATTAAAAGGTAATCAACAAAAATGGTATCACATTTTAAGGGTTTTTAACAATAATGCATTATTGTGTCATATACCACTAGGTTGGGTAGCTGGTATGCTGAACTCTCCGTCCTAATGCTGGTCAGTAATTTGTTAATTTCTGGCATTTTCCTACCTGTCAGCATCCAGCTGCTGTCCTTTGTCTTACACATCTGTCCTGGTTCTGTCCAGGAGAGGGTTAATTTTTGCAGTACCCAGGAGGCATTGCTGGGGTGGGAAGAAGGTGGCTGTCCTGATGGAGTAAGCATGGCAGAGGGAGCTGTCGGATAACTCTTGTTCTGAGCATTTTGCATGTGAATCACTCGCGTCTCTCTTGTACACTTTTGTTACTAATATTGTTACTGATCATTTTCTTATCTCATTGCTGCTTCCAGTAAATTATTCTTATTTCAGCCCGTGATCTTTACCTTTTGTGCCTCCAGTTCTCCTCTCCAGCCTGCTGCAGGCGGGGGGAGAGAAAGGGTGAAAAGCGGGCAAGCAGCAGTGTGGTTTGGAGAGTCTCAGTGGGAGCACTAAACTGGGGAGTACCATTCCTAAACCAGGACAACATCGCTAGTCAGTTCCTTGGGAAAAGGAAGATGATTTTTCTGGTCGTTGCGTTTTGTTCAGCTGATACAAAGGGGTCCTGGCCAAGGACTGTGCTTTCTGTCAGTAGGAACAGAAAAATGGTCTTAGACTGGTGAATGTACTGTTATAGAAAGTGTCATATGAAGTTAATATTTTAAAAACAGAAGAGTGATAGTGAGTTTTGTTTAGTTTTGTGTTTGGGTTTTTTTTTCTTCTTTTCTGAAAGGTATCCTTCATTTCTATCAGTAACCTCAATTGGAATTGAACAAACCACTAAGTCTTTAAAAGTATCCATGTGTTAAGTCTGGGAACATCCTTGAAAAAGACTATACTCTTTCTGTCAGGGTTTTGAGGTTGTGTGTTTGTTTTCTCAAGGAAATTGGAGGTCAAATATATTCCTTCTGTAAAACTTTGAGCATACGTAATCTTAGGTTCCTAGGATATCCTACCTGGCCTGATGTTGAAGGGATCACGGTTCCACTTTGGAATGTTTTTGTACTGATAACATCATATGTTTATACAGAATGTGATATATAGAAGTGTCATATCTGCCTCTTCCATGAGGACACTTCAAATGCTCAGTGACATACATCCACGTTTCAGTTTAGGCTTGCCTCTCCTTGCCTCTGAGAGTATGTCAGTCTTTCGGCTACAACCTCTCCTAGTTGCTTATTTAATGTTCTAACCTGTCTAATTTGGAACATGAAAAAGAAAGGGCCCATTAGTGTTTTGATCTTAATACTGAACAAAAATCTTTGAGAGTGTTTTAAACCCCTCTGTCTCCCAAAACCTCAAAAGTGAAAAGATGTCAAAATAAAATAATAAAAAAAATGTGTTTAAATCACAACAATAATATTTATTGAGATCACAACAATAATATTATTGAGATAGTAACTACAATACCACTATTTTGCTTTGAGTGACAGTTTGAAGAGAAATGACCCTTGTTTTCTTTTATTTCAGAAACAAGCATAGACCATTTCTTCTCTTTGTTTCCCTTTTACATGTTCACACCCCTCTCCCTACCACAGAGAAGTTTCAAGGAAAAAGCAGGCATGGCCTGTATGGAGATAATGTAGAGGAGATGGATTGGATGGTGGGTAAGTGTTGGTCTTGAGGAAAATTCTTCATTTATTTGAATGTGGAAAAGAAATTAAAGAGGTGATCGCCAGACTCCCTTTTTGCACATGTAAAAATCATGTCTTGAATACATAGTTGGTTTCAAAACTGCCATACCATAACCACACTTCTTTTTTTTTCTTTCTTAAGATGAAAGCTTAAACTTTCTCTGTAAGGATTTGTTCTTTTTTTAATTGACACGCTGCTGTGCTGAATTGTTAAATGCAGACATATAATCAAATATGTCCTTGATCACGCTGCTAATCAAAAATATGACACTTCTCCAGCTAGGTCTGGTCTTCGCAGATGTAAGTGGTGCTGATGCTAAATATCACATTATGCTTTTTCCTTGTGCATTTCACCTTTTGCTGCTGCTTCTATAGCTATGGAAGCTGTTCTTGGCAAATATACTTGATGCAGAAGGTGATGAGGACAATCAAACTAAGATAAATCACATTCTGTATAAACACATGATGTTATCAGTACAAAAACATTGCTTATGAAATTAGGTTTGAATTACAGTCTGCAAGGTTTTTACCACTGACATCAGGAGATGATTTTGGTTGATAGTATGTAGCCTGGTCTCCGATTCCCTGTGTGAGACACAGCAGTTTACTATGGCTAGTAATCAAGGCAGCATTACTACTTAAGCTTTTCAAGATGTTTGAGACTACCTACTCAGCATATTCCTTGACTCAGAGAATTTACAGAATAAAGTTGACTGAGTATTCTGAGTAGTTGGAATAAAAGGATCAATCATTTAAATTATTTTCCATTTGGTGGTAATTTTTATTTTCCCATTTTTATAGACACTACAAACAAATTTTGTAAACATTCATCCACTTTTTGTTGGGCTCTTATTATTTCACAGAATTATAGAATATTCTGAGTTGGAAGGGACCTGTCAGGATCACCAACTTCAACTCTTGGCCCTGCACAGGACACCCCAAGAATCACACCATGTGCCTGAGAGCATTGTACGAACAGTTCTTGAACTCTGTCAGGCTTGGTGCTGTGACCACTTCCCTGGGGAGTTCCAGTGCCAAGCCACTCTGTGGGTGAAAAACTTTTTCCTGAAGTCTAACCTAAACCTCCCCTGACTCCACTTCATGCCATTTCCTCGAGTCCTGTCACTGGTCACAAGAAGGAACAGTTTGGTACTTGCCCTTCTGCCTTCCCCTTGTAAGGAGGTTGAAGACTGCAATGAGGTCTCCCCTCAGTCTCCTCTTCTCCAGGCTGAACAGACCAAGTGACCTCAGCTGCTTCTCATATGGCTTCACCATCTTCACTACCCTTCTTTGGACACTCTCTAATAGTTTATTATCTTTCTTATATTGTGGTGCCCAAAACTGCACACAATATTCAAGGTGAGGCCGTCCCAGTGCAGAGCAGAGCAGGACAATCCCCTCCATCGACCGGCTGTCAATGCTTTGCCTGATGCCCCCCAGGACACGGTTGGCCCTCCTGGCTGCCAGGGCACTGCTGACTCTCATTCAGCTTGCCACTGACCAGGACCCCCAGGTCTCTTTCTGCAGCACTTTGGTCCAGCCTCTCATTCCCTAGGCTATACAAACAACCAGGTTTGCCCCATCCCAGGTGCAGAATTTGGCACTTGCCATTGTTAAACTTCATCCTATTGGTGATTGCCCATCTCTCTTATTTGTTGAGGTCTCTTTGCATTGAATGTGGTAGATAATAACAGAACTCATTCACGTAAATTCAGTCTTCACTGAATTTTGAGTCAAGACATATAAAATCTGAGTGCATCTCCTGATGTAATTATGATGTTATGCTTTGTTTATAGGAAGGCTTCTGGATGTTATTGACAAAGAAAGCTTGAAGAATACCACATTCATTTATTTTGCATCTGATCATGGAGGATCCTTAGAGGCTCAAAGAAAAAATTCTCAGTTGGGTGGATGGAATGGGATCTATAAAGGTAAAATTTTGGTAGTGTCTACATGCATAAGACTTTCTCTTAAAAAGAAAATGATAGACTAAAATACATTCAGACAGCCTAAATTTAATAAACTATGTGCTGGTATTACAATCTTGGATTATAGATCTGAAATGAAGATCCGTGGTATTTCTTGCATGTGCCCCCTCCAGACTGTTAAGCCTTGAAAAGCTACTGTGACAGCTTGCACAGACTGACACTTACTGTATAATGAAGTCTGAAAGCTTATCTTGAAATCACTTATTTCCCTATGGAAGAAGAGTTGTGTACACCTTGACCTGGCTCAGCATGACAGTGCACACTGTCTAGTAGCAAGTTACTTGATGGGCCACACAAGCAATGTTTGATACAGCTGGGATCCATCTAGGAACAGTCCTAAATGCAAAATGAGCCTTCATTTCTTGATATGAACTTTCCATACCAGTAACAGTTGCAAAAAGGCCAACAGGCACATTTGAATAGTTTAGAACCTAATCTGATGAATTCACTTCTACTAACTGAACGCAAGTATATTAGTAACAGGAGAAACCAGAGAGGGAAGGTAAATGTGATTAGAGATTTAAGTGTGAGAGCCAGTGATGAAATGATGCCTGCTTAGAGAGAAGGCAAAAGAAAAAATAATATCAGTTTAGATATCAATAACAGAAAGGCATCCCCATTTATGTCCATATATGGCAGAACAGGGTACATCCCACTGAATCTAACAAGATTAAAAAATATAATTTAATTATTAAATACCTGTAAAATTCACTGCTGCTGTTTGAAACAACATATTAAAAACAAGAAGATAAATAAGCCACATATCTGAATAATGAGAAGAGCCTCTACTGATTGACAAAGCATGAGATACTGCTATTTTACATAGCACAAACATTATTTCACAAGCAGCTTGACTTGCCCTGTTTGTTATCCATCATGACACCTTGTCAGCCTTTAAATCCAAGCTCTGGGAACCTTGCCTCTCAGTTGTAACTGTTAGCACACCTCCTTCATAGCAAGGTATGGTATTACTTAGCAAAGCCTGGGGCTAATGTAAGCTACTATTCAGCTGCTGATTTATTAGCTGAGCTAATCAGCTGGCTTCAAGCTTTGTTCACCAGTTTTCCTACAACACTTTCCAGCCACAATTTGTCATTTCTGCCTTTGATAGGAGCAATAACAGAGAAAAGATCATATAGGTACCTGAGCTTAATCATTTTGCAATTTTTGTTTTCTAATTGGATCCTTCACTTGTAGTTCTGACTTTGAACCACATTGTTTCATTAATATTCCCATCTTTGACATCTGTTACTTATATCTGTAATTAGTTAATGGTTCTCACTTTGAAATATTATTCAATGAATTTTTTACTTGTAAGAGAGACTGCATGGAGGAGAGACTTCAGAAGACCAGAGGAATGCAAGAGAAATGAAGTTAAGAAAAACTCTTTGTATTACCTAAAGACAATTCCAATAGAAATGCAGGTAGAAAGTCTTTTGTCACTGCAGCATATTCAGAGCACTCCCCTATTTAATGCATTGGTTCTCAACTCTTCCATTTGGGACCACCTCAGAGCCTCCCTGGAACTGTATTCTCCTGGAGGGCAATCAAATATTATCCTAATTTCTCTCACTGCTCTCCAGAACTGCAAATAATTTTGTAATGTTCCTGCTGTCTCTGACTGGGAGCTGACAACCAAGCTTGCCCTGTGCTAATTTTCCTTCTCAGGCACCAAGTGGGGCTGCAACCTCTATTTCATTGACAAGTCAGATTTTGATCTTAATTATTTCATTCATTCATTCATTCATTCATTCATTCATTTTATTAACTGATATTTTATCAACAGATTTTTTTCTCTCTTGAGCACGTTATTAGGGAATGTGGAGAGTATTCTCAGATACTCGAGTTGAAGTGACCTTCAGCTTAAGCTCTGTGTCAGAATGACTTCTCAGGCATCAGAGGGTGGAATTGTTCCTCGTCTGCCAAAAATGCTGCTTAGTATTGGGTTGTTATATGTGCCACCCACTGAAAAACACAGTGTAAAATAAAGACATCAATAAGACTTATTTTTGAAGAATAGAGTTTCCACTGTAGTTACTCCACTGTTTTCCAGGATTTAGTGTGTTCTCATTAGAGTTACAGGATTATTCTAAAAATTTAAAACCTTTTATTATACATGCAAAATGAAGATCTAGTATTTCTTATTCTTTTCTCTTTTTTTTACACTTCCCCCCCCTTATCTAACAGGTGGAAAAGGCATGGGAGGCTGGGAAGGAGGGATCCGTGTGCCAGGAATATTTAGGTGGCCAGGAGTACTCCCTGCAGGCACAGTTATTGATGAACCTACAAGTCTGATGGATATTTATCCCACATTAGTTCATCTGGCTGGAGGGACAGTGCCGCAGGACAGGTACAGAGGTGGTTTCATAAACCATATTTGCTTTCCTTTCTTGATTTAGATAAAAACTAAGTCCTGCATCCTGACAGCCACAGGTTAAATTCTGATTGTTTCTAAACCAGGCAATTATCTTAGCTTTCTTTCTGCATAGTCTTCCTTGTCTTGTCTGCTTGTATGGAAAAAGGCAAAGGAAAAACCAGTATGTTTTATCAAGGATCATTTAGCTAACTCAGTCCTCTAATCACCAAAAGGCAATTTGGTTGATTTGGGGCACTAGGATGACTGTAAAAAACAAACAAACAAACAAAAACCCACACCTAAACCCAAACAAACAAACCACAAAAAACCAAAACAAAACCCACAACCAAAGCCACTCCTTTTAATTTAAGTTTTTTTAAGTGAAAAATCCACAGACTTTCACGAAGTTGGTTGGTCCTGTTAGAGTACTAGGACAGGAAGCCTAGGAAGCCCGGTTATTCGCAAGTAGGGAAAGGTGGAGCAAATAGCACGTGACCTGCATTTTTCTGCCGGTACCAAAGAAGTACTTCCTCAACAGTAAACAACTTGTAGCATCTATGTTAGCCTCCTCTAAAGGACACGAGAAAGCGTAGGTGGATAAGTCATTTCAAAAAAAAAACCAAAAAAATTACTGGTGGTGCGTAAATAAATCAACTCTTTGTCAATTCAGTAGGTGGCTTGCTTTTTTTTTTTTCTTTCCTTTAAAGCCTGAAGCTCGCAGAGCTGTCAGTGCTTCAGTGACTTCCATTTCAGGTAGCAAAATTACTTACTTCCAGGAAAATTACAGTAGTAGTGACTTATCTCCCCAGGCAGGGCGTGTGAACTAGCTGTATTTGCAAAAACTTCGAGTAAGTGCTAATTCCCGATCTCCACCCATTCACAGAATTAAAAATCTCAGGGCTCATTAGCAAAAAAGCACCTTGGTTCAGAGACGGCACTTGAAATTCTAATGCTGCGTACATAGAGTGGGCAGAGCTCGTGCTGCAGCTGCAGTCCGAAATCCTTGAGCCGGCTGGTGACTCCTGTTCTCTCCCTCCTTCAGGGTAATCGACGGGCGCCCTTTGCTGCCTCTGCTGCGTGGGACAGTTCGGCACTCCGGGCACGAGTTCATGTTTCACTACTGTGGTGTGTTTCTGCACGCAGTGCGGTGGCACCAGAGGGACAGTGAGTACAAACATCCCCCTCCAGCAGATCAGAGACCACGTCATGACCTCTAGCTCCCAAGAGAGTGTAATGTAAAAATATACATACATATTATCCGGGACTAAGTGGATTGTCTCAAACTCTCAGTTCTTCAGCAAGTTGCAGAAGAATTAGCTGTCCTGCCTTGCCTGAGATGAAGGGGTTTGCTTCCTGGAAAGCATAACTTCAAGAATCCCCATTTTGTTGCAGCCTTCGTATCACTTTTGATGCAAAAAGCATGCGGGCTCAGCTTTAGTGTAGGAGCCAGAGCGCCGCCAGGGGGCAGCGCGGCACCGCCGGCCGCTTCAGCCGCGGCCTGCCGGGCGGCCCACAGCGCTTGGGCGAGGAGCTTAAAAACGGCAAAACAAAACAAAACAAAATGAAACAAAACCCAACCTCCCGGCCCTTCAGCGCAGTCAGCTGCTGCGTGTGTCGTTTTCACACCCCGAGGTGCCCCGTATGAAAGGGCCATCCACGGCTGTGGGAGAGCAGGGGGAGCGCGGCCGGCCAGCCCCCCCCCCCCCCCCCGCCCCAGTGCAGTGGCGTCGTTCCCGAAGCCCTGTAGTCGCTCATGCCCTGCTGAAGCTCGGAACCCGTGCTCCTGGCCCATGCCTGGCAGAAAGCTCAGGACTGCCGATTTAAACCTCCAGTGAGTGTGTACACAGCAGACCAGTGAGTTAAGAGACTGACGATGAGAGGATGAGAGCACAGCTCTTGGAGCTGCCACTAGAGATCAGTTCACCGACAGACTGGTGGCAACTTGGCCCCACACCAAAACTACCATTAGGTCCAGGCTTCATCTCATTAGTCTATTCTCCCCAAGTAATGTCAGCAGACAAAAGGAAATGGCCTCAGGTTGCTCCTGGGGAGGTTTATACTGGATATTAGGAAAAATTTCTTCAGGGAAAGGTTTGTTAAGCACTGGAGCGGGCCACCCAGGAAAGTGTTTTTGTCACCATCCCTGGAGGTACTTAAAAGATGTGTAGATGTGGACATGGATTAGTGCTGGACTTGGCAGCACTGGACATGATGATCTTAAGGGTCTTTTCTAACCTAAAGAATTCTATGATTCTACAGTCTATCCCCAAGCACAGTCACCTGTTCACATTACCTAGGAGCAGAACAGCAGTCAGAAACTCAAATCTCCTATGTCTCTAAATCAGTCTCAATGTCCTGGAGAAAATTCCTGCTAGAAGAGTCATGCTACACTTCCCTACTGAAAGGCTAAAAACATGCTCCACTCAAGCAGTGCATTTGAAGAACTGCTCTTTAAGTTGAAGGATTGCTACACTCCTTGCCCAGCTTTCATCACTTGTTCTTCTAGGCTATATAAGAAGTATATAAGTAGCTATGCATACTTATGCAGACACAAGATATATTTGGTGGCATTTCATGATCCTGTGAAGCCACACGCGCAGCTAGATTTCCTATGCATGCCTTTCTACAGTTTTTCCCATTGAACCTCAGCTGCTCATGGCAAGGGCCCTGAAAACAATGCAATGTTCTTCTGCATGTGAAAGACTGGCTAATCAAATATGTGGCTCAGCTTTCAAACAAGATGTAAATTTTGATTCTTTGTTCCAACTACCATTTCTTCTGACTGGGCTAACAGACTATTTTGAGGGGTTTAGCTCATCTGCAAGTAAATCAGTCATTTTATGTGTTTATTGTCTATATCTGTCTTTTGGTCAGCCTAAATATGAAGGCATTGCATCTTGGTGTCACCCAGGCGGGTTCCATCCTTTAAGCCCTTCATTGAAGCCAGAAGAATCCTTTGTTTATAAGTTAAAAGAGTCCTTTCCTTCACCCCAGCACAATAAGTCTTATTAGTGACAGTACATTTCCTTCTGCTCATTAAACTGATTGATTGTTACCAGATGGGGTTGAGAGATGTTTGTACTGAAGCAGCAGGTTTCCTTTCCCTTGGACATACTAAATTAACATGATGCCCTAAAATTCACATGCAACTTCAGATTCTGTCAGAGCCACTTCAGTAGAAAATTGCATATCCCTGTTTGCCTCTTGGAGATGAGTGCAACCCCCACTGCTTTTATCAGCACTGATTTCTACCACCTTTTTTTTTTAATCTTCTATCTTTCTGTAACCCAATTGTCTGCTCAGCTCACCAACACAGGTTAATTACAATCAACCTCTCTGTATCCTTCAAAGTGAACTAACAAGGACCTGGCTGTCATTCACTCTGCATTTCCAGTAATTATTTGCAGCTGTGAAAAGTGACTGTTAAAATTTAGCAGCATCAGACACTCTACACTCAGTACTCCAAATTTTCATAAGTGTATAAGGAACTCAGCCCAATTATTTATAGAAAAGAATGACTAGTTAGTTTTTTTCTGAAAATTGATCGCATAAATTCCTACTTACAGCTAGATAATCCTCTCCATCTTATTTACCTAATAAACGGTTATTTTACCAATACCACAACAGTACTCCAACTAAGCCAGGTACTCGGAAAAAAATGCCTGTCCCAGAGATTGCTTATTTAACTCCTTGTAGCAAGTATCTGTGCTACCTGACTGACAAACATAAGACCCAAATCCCATGCTCTGGGAACCCTGATATCAAAGAAGATGCTTGCCTTTTTGTCACGAGACAAATGTTCTTTTAGTTACAAGACGGATAAGCTGAAGGATGTGGAGCTCACCCAGGCAGCAGCAAAGCACACACTCTAACAGACCTAAGGAGTATCTGTCTGTCCTTAGTAAGCCGTCAGAAAGTGAGCCCAATCAACCTTCATCATCCTTTCTCTCACCATTTCAGAAATGGAGATATCTAGCATTTAAAAACGTTACAGAACTATTATGCCAAAACATTTCAGAACCATCGAGACGTCATCTCTCCACATAAGTGCAGAAGCATAGGTTAAGCATGATGTGGAAACCAGGGGGTGAAAATAAATAGATACACAGCCAGCTAGCAACTAGATATTTTAAGGTAAAATATTGCCTGATCCTTAACATCTGGTATTTGTTTTCCCTCACCTTTTCAGAAGTTTTAAAATTTTATTTATTAACAAAATAGTGTTCTAGTAGTAGTTACAAGACAGAGACCAAAGGATAAAGCTGCAGGCTCCAAACATAAAGAACACCTCTGGGGACAAAAGAAGAAAGGAAGGAAAGTTCAGCTGATTCCACTGAACTAAAAAGAAAATTCCATGTAGGGACAATGCAGTTGTCAGCTATTTGGGCTCAGTGGATTAGAGAAGTGGCTCCAAGTGTTAAATGTCCCCTTTCTTCTTGTCTCCTTCTTTCAAACATAGTATCTAATCGCTGTCTTCTTGCTGGGCACAGAATTGCCTCTAAATTCAGTGTACTGTATTCTAAATGTGGGGTGACGAATCGGGGAAAAAGGAGGAGGAAGTAAAGTGTGCTGATGAGCTGCACTCCGATTTAGTCCTAAACGTTTGCCATTCTTTCATTACAAGTTACAGACCTGTGCTTATCCTATGGCCAGTACAAGAGCCTGATGACGTGCAAGCTCTAAAGCTGTCTTCATTATGTTAACTCAAAAACTAGACTCCAGATTTTGCAGTTTTCTCGGTCTGCAATTACCACCCTATTTGAACATGAACATGGAAATAAACTGTGATGAATTTCTTCCCAGGTGTACTTCTTCACTCAGATACACAGAGGCGGCAGAAGAACCACCTGCAAGTACTTGCACCCAGAAACTGGGGACTGCATTCTCCATATTCCCTCCCCAAGAGGCTTGTAGCATTTTAAAGGGACACAAGAAAGTGTCAGACCCCCTCTTTATCCAAAATGTTAGGCTAACTATTGACATACCGTATAGGGCCCTGCACATACCCAGAGCTAAGGTGTTCCCATAAGCCACAAAGAACATCTTAATCCTGACAGCTTCCACAAGACCCCTTCCCCATCTGTGATATATGCTTGCCCCTAGCAATGACAAAGCAGATCACTTAAACGTGAACCAAACTTTCAGGACACATCCCCCGCCCCTCCCACCTCTTAATGCCATTAAGATGTTCAAATGTGCTTCTTCTGTGACAGGTGGCACCGTGTGGAAAGCTCATTATGCTACTCCAGTATTCCAACCAGAAGCCTCTGGAGCCTGTTTCAGAAGAGGAATTTGCCCATGTTTTGGGGATGGTGTAACCCATCATGACCCTCCACTGCTGTTCAATCTCTCACAAGATCCGTCTGAGGCAAATCCTCTATCAGCTGACACTGAGCCCTTGTTTGACACTGTGACGAGGAGAATAAGAAAAGCTGTGGAAGAGCATCGCAAGACGCTGACTCCAGTGCCACAACAGCTGTCTCCATACAATAATATATGGAAGCCATGGCTGCAGCCATGCTGTGGAACATTCCCATTCTGCTGGTGCCATGAAGAAAATAACAAAGCAGATAGCATAGTTTAATACCAAAATCAAAGGTAGCTTCTTTAAAGAAGTTGATGGTTTTCACATTTACATGACATTTACATTCATAGAGAAATTGGAGATATGGGTTAAATTACACTGGAATAATTTAAAGAGATATTATTAGGGTGTTTGTGTTCAACTTTTTTTCATACCCACAGAAATTCAGTAAGCCTGTGGTTTAAAAATTAGCGGTCACCTGTATAACCCGCCTCTCAAGTGCATAATTCTGGATTAAATACCCAAATAAATAAATAAATATTTCTTTTCTTAGTGATGTTCAATTCAAGCACATGATGGCTGATAAGAAAGTATACTTTTCATTGCAGATGCTTGTACAGGAAATATGCTTATTATGACAACAGTACTAAGCCCAAAAGGGTATCCCTATTCAGGACTTATCTTTTTAATAAAAAACCATGTTGCACAAAAATGAAACTATGATGACAATGAAAAAAAATAAAATAAATCATGAAAAAAATAGCACATTTTATTTGGAAACATACCAAAATGCATTTGCCTCTCAGAAATAAATACCTATTAATTTACAGCAATTTTTTGCCTCATCTGTACGTTCATTTTTCTATTATGTAAGAATTCCCAGGGAAAACCGAACTGACGAGTATGTTTTAAAAATTAGATAGCTGAAGTTAACATCTCAAGATCAGAAGCAAAGTACATAGCTATTCTGAAATTATAAACCACAATTCTTATCAAAATGCATTTCCCATGTAGTTAAGTCATCTCACTTGTGAGAGCGTTCAAAGTCATCACCCTTGAGAAGATAGGTCCCAAATTTCATAATCTGAGACCAGTTTTTAAGCTGCATGTCCCACTTGAGTGCCAATGACTCTGATTTCATATGAGGGCTATGAAAAATGTGTGTTGTTTTGTGAGAAAGCACTTTGTTTTCAGTAGGAGGTGTTAAAAAAAAATTCACCTGACACACTAATCACTTCTGTGTACAGGTCATCTTCTCCAAGCCAAACAAGTGTCAGCACTCTGTACAGTCATTAAGGAAAGGGAGGGGATTAAAATATGTAATCTTCTCTTGCTGCCCTCAGGTTAAATAAATTCATCTCCCAATATGTAATCCTAACCATGCTCTTGCCAGGTTTCGTGTCAAATCTGATTTTTAAATGGAGGTTTCTGTATTTTTGCCTTCAGAAAAAGTAGATTGCAGGCAAGAAACTCAGATTCAAACTTCTAAGCCTTTCTGAACACTGTATGTTCACTCATACCACGCAGCTAAAGGTCACCCACATTTTAAAAGTAACAAAGGATGGTAAGAGCTGCAGAGCAGGTACTTCAGGTGACCTATTTCCTTAAAGCTAGCAGACTTGCAGAGCCACACCAGTGCAGTTCTATTCAACACCAGGGTAGCCTGTGTGTCATTTTTTGCCTTTTAGAAACAACAAGAGATAAGAAGGCTTGCAGCAGGTCCCTCCCTCAGTTCTTGGGCTGCCACAGCAGATCCCAGCCCTTTCACCAGCCTCAGGACAGAAGTGAATTTATGTCTGGACTATGCACCTTTTGCAGTGTTTTCAGAGCACCTCCTGACTTACACCTCCAATGTGGCAGGTCAGCAGCGTGGTAAGTCACTGCTGTTTAGCTCTAAACATGGTTGTGACCATGACATGACACCAAATGCAAGTCTCCAAAAAGCTGACAAGGCATTCCTTCAGGTTATTTCCCATTTCATCTTTCCTCTACAAGGCCACCAAGAAAGTTATGTGGAAAACACATAAATCAAAGGGCACTTACGACAATGAACTGATTGGATGAGTCAATGTTACACTTGACAGGGGTATCTAAAAATACATTTGTTCTCACTGCTTGATAGCGTTTAAATCCACATCAACATTGCTAAGAACGCATCAGAAGATTTGACGTTTTCCTGTGTCTGACAGGGACCAAAACCAGAGCAACTGCATTTCACTGGATTCATGCAGGGAGAAAAAGCATAAAAGATCATGCATTTTAAAGCCAGTTTGGCCGATTCAGAGATGGAGGACAAACCTTACTGCTCAGTGGGGAACAAAACCAAAAGCTGTTCTCTAGAGTCAAGCCAATCAGTTCAGTAGCATCTACATGGTCAGTTAAACACAAGGATAAGCGTCTTCTCAGTTCACCTCAGTGCCTTCCCCACTCACCCACTCCACTAGGTTAGATATCAGGAAAAAGTTTTTCACCCAGAGAGTGGTTGAACACCAGGATAGGCTCCCCAGGGAAGTGGTCACAGCAACAAGCCTGAGAGTTTAAGAACTGTTTGGACAATGCTCTCAGGCACATGGTGTGATTTTTGGGGAGTCCTGCGTAGGGCCAGGTTGGACTTGATGATCCTGATGGGTCCTGTCCATCTCAGCATATTCTGTGATTCTATGATTTATACACAAGAACATGCCCAGTCCCAGACTAGGTTATGACGAGAGTTTTTGCCAGGGGATGGGAAGGTGTTCAAGCACCCACTCAGGATCTAAACATAGGTCCAAACTCTAGAAGGCCAGACTAGGAAGGCCAATACATCAGAAAAACCCTGAACTCCATTTCCAAGCACAGTGTGAAAAAAAATCACCCCATATAAATGTAAACATTAAACATTTGTGTAACACCTCATTTGTCTGAAGGTTGAATTTGCTAAACTGCCATACAGAGTCAGATGCTAAGGAGTCACGTAGATATGCCTTCCTAACATCCAAACATAAATAATTTTATCTTGGCTGGCATCTGTGGAAAGCCAGAGGGGCTTTCAGGCAGGGGGAAGAGGAATTAGGGCTGGCAGCATAGAGTAACTGGCTTTTGTTAACTCACTGTTCAGAAACCCCAGCCAGGCAAAGAAAAATGTGCTTTTCCCATACACAGAGGGAGAGGGCAGACAGTACACACAGAGGTGAAAGGAGAACAAAGTAATGGAAAATTGGTGAATAGGATGCACATCACTTCAAAAAACACGACTATTTTCAGTCCTAAACTCCTTTTACTGCCTAAATCTAAATGTATCTTGAAAGATAAAAATTTTGAGGAGTCAGTGGTAAGCAGGGAAAGGAGGTTAATTATTTTACCCATTTCATGCAGATCCTAGCCAGGAGTGGTTTCAAATCTCTTTGTCTGTATATACTCTAACAGATCACATAAGATCTGCACAAGCTATTGTTCTGATCTCCTGGCCAATGTATATTCCCCATAAAGCAGGTGAACCCGACATCACCCAAGAGTTATCCTCATGCACACTTCACATAAAATACATTAATGGAGAAAAGAGCTGTTAAAAAGATTGCTTGAATAACACTGGAAGGAAGAAACTCTTAAGTCGGTTCCTTAGGTTTGCTTGAAAAGTCATCTATAATGATCTTTTGCAAAATATATTAATATTAGAATAAAAGCTAACTTAAAAGCTTTCTCCCTTCTTTTCTCATAGTTCCTCCCTTTGTAGAAAGGAGCAAGGACTACATAAATATGGCCTGTTGGGAAAACCTGAGACAAGTGACCCATCTTCAAGCTGGTGTTAACCATACCAGAATGTGCCTACACATGGTTCAGTATACACACCAGAGAGAGGGGAGTATTACTCTGTAACAAATTAAGTTTGTTTTACTGAAAGAGCTGGGGTTGTACTGTGTAAATGTTTGACATTCACGTATGAAGCTGACTTCCACTTAAATTGTTTGATCATTATTAAATGACATTTGGAATTGTTGCATTTGACTGACTCAACAGAGTAATTGTCAAGTCTCACAGGAGTGAGACAGTAAGCTTCTAAGAAACTTCACTTCACCATATTTAAATATTAGACACATTGCTTTGCTCCCTGCTGGGACCCCAAGGAATGCCAGCATATGGATCACAAGATCCCATCATTTAAGGATGCAAAATAATTGTTTAAAAAAAAAAATTCAGAAAAGTAATTTGAACTCAAAGCTCATCCAGCTTGAAATTCTTGAGGACTCTGAGTATATTTGAGAAGCATTTACATAAATGACCAAAAAGAAGTAGCAAATATTAAAAAAATTTTTGCTTATTGACAGATTGTAAGTTAAAATACACCTATGCAGGCATAAACATAGTATTGAACTCAATAAAATACTGAAGATTTTTTGACAATGTTGTGATTGTAATGTTACATCTAATTAACTACATTAAAAAAATTCAAATTTATTCAAAAGCTGGCTTCTTTTTGGATTACCATACTACTGCATTATTAAGATTTTTTGAAAGCAAGAAAAAAGCATTTTAAAAAAATCTTAACTTCCCACATTGAAATAAAAGGTACCATTAGAGGATCCAAACAATCCTGACTCCTACTCTACCATTTGTCTAAAAATTGTAAGTAAAAGGTTTGGAAACAGAAAGAATTTATGGAGGTTTAAAAATTAAAAAGAAAAGTCTCTGAACAAAAGATAAAACAGGTACCCACCCATCATATGCAGTCAGTTCTGTTCCAAGTATTTAATACTATGGGAAGGCTTTGAATATCTTGTTGCTATAAAATAAAACAAACTGTTTCATGTATTTATCATTGTTCAGAGTACTGTACAGTGCCATGAAACGGAACAAACAGTTTTCCAAGGCAGCTAACATCATGCCATCCTGCAAATTCTAAAGTAATCACCAGTCAGAAGCTGGCTGTCTTGGAATTTTCCTTTTTTTATCCATCCAGTTTGCTGAATTTGAAAGGGCTCTGACAACAGTCAAAGTAAAATTCAGGAAAAAAAAACTTGCAACTATTTTTCCCCCTTATTCATAGTGTATGATTTTCAGTTTTCTAACAATTATTATTTATGATGTTTGAGTCAACTATATATCACTGTACTTTTTTAACTAGCTTCGATATGATTATGGTATGATGTTATTACAAGTTGAAAGTCTATATCAGGATGTAAAGTAAAACTTGAATGTCACCCCTTTAACTGGCAGCACCAAAGAAATTGTTCATTATGAGCCTTCCAGTTTAGGATGAACAGACTATCAGCTGAAACATTTTGCAGACAATATACTGACAATGCAGACTACTTCAATGACCATTAACTGACAGGTATTTTTGCAGGCTATTTAAGAACTTACTACGATGCATTTAATCTCATTTAAAAGGCTGATTTAAAAAAAAAACAAAAAAAAGCAAACTACAGAAATAAAATCCCAATATTATGACAAGAAAATTGGTGGGGAATCGGAATGTGAGATGTGAATTAATGAGATGTGACCTAAGAAAACGGGCCCATCTCATGTTACTTTCAAAGTCATAGGAATCAAAACAGTTTAGATTAGGAAAGCAACAGAATCACATCCATTAAGGAATAGGCAGGCATGCTGCACACCTATATGTTTATGGGAGCACACAAACATATATCGCCACCTGCTACTAACCCAGCCTCCTGTTCATGGACAGAAAAATCAAAGTGAAAAAACAACCAAAATGAAACAACTAAGCATTTTTTCAAATACCAGATTCAGAAAAACAATTGTGAGCTGAATGAACTAGAGAGAGAAAGAAAACTTCTTATGTATAAAGAATAACCCAGTTGGAAGAGTCCTCTCAAGACACCAGGCATTAAGAAAAGTGATATTTCAAGAACAATCTCCTTTTCTGTAGGCTAGGAAAGTGCATTAACCCACACGTCTAACCCACGCTATCTCCTGCTTTTACATGAAGAGCACCCAATAAAATTGTTGTATAGCAAATAAAATTACCCTCTAAGTCAGGCTATGAATAACTCCAAGCACATGACAGAAGCAGCATCAGCATGTTTTGTTTTAAACACAAGCTGTCCTCTTTAAAATACAGTCTGCCACGCAGCAATAGGTCATAGTCTGGTCTTGTTTAAAGAGGAATAGTGCCACCCACCAGAAAGCCAAAGCTTAACTTTCTTCATTCTAAAAATGCTTGGGGCTATAGCACAGTTTAATGTGGAAAAATTCCAGGTAAAGCTTGGTAAGTTTTTTCTCCCCAAGTTATGTTTCGACTTAGGAAACCTCAGCCCTGTGATTCATATGCAGCCAAAAACACCCCTCAGACCTGCCTGTGATCTCAGGATTTCAGAATTATGTCCATAAAAGCATGGAATGCTGCCTGAAGCACAGCACTTGCAAATTCTAGAGTCACATCCAAGATTGTCCCTTGTCACACGTTGGTGACAACAGTTGTGTGCTAGAAGCCACTACAACACCGCATTATGTGTAATTAGTTCAACTTTTTTTTATGTGAAGACAGGACATAAAAACTTGGGCAGGGCCTTTAACAGCTACACTTTTCCATGAAATACAATAAACAAAATGCTGTTGTGCTAATTCAAGAGATCCTAAACATTATAATTACATATGTCTGTAGAAATAATTATAAGTCTAACCTTTTAATTCTGCTCAACAGGTAATGGTAAATGTCTCAAAAGCAATTAAATCAAATTAAAAAAAAAATTAAAGTAACTAGTCAGTAACAAATAATAATCCCTGGCACATTGTAAACAACCTGTAGCAACCTATCACCTGATAAGTACATGACTTCATATGTCTTTTCTATTTCTTTTATTTCCATTACATTAATGTACATTCTTTGCAAAACATTGTATTAGACACACAGTACCATTTTACATACTAACAGTTTGACATGTCCAGTAACAGCTCCTTTTACTACATACACTGATTTAAAAAAACTTGCAGTTACTGATTTTGCTTCAGTAATTTTTCTCCCATAATCTAATTAATGTGCCCAGTAAAATCTAGTTGTTACTGTAAAAGGTCCAGCTGCCTGAAGCATGAGTTCACACTGCTGACTAGTTTTATAGTCTTCAAAACCTGTTTGAATTATGTTAGCAACAGTGCTTATAAAACAAAACTTTCTCAGAAGTGCAGAAGGATCACAAAGAAACAGGGCTAATCAGCAGATCAAATGCCATGTGAGTAAGAGGACAGTGCAGCTGCTGCCATCTCCACACAGTGCTGCACTGGGCCACAGCACCAAGAGGTACAATGCATGTACATGCACTAAGGTGTGAAGGTCACCTACCCAGAAAGGCTCAGGCTATCGAGGGTCCCCAGTTTAGCCAAAGAGAGATGATTCTTCCCCGTTTCTCTGTTGACCCTAAAACGTCTAACTTAAGCTAGAAGCTTATATGCAGAAGACACACCAATGAGATTCACTCTTTAAGAGTGCTTAGAATAAATGAGAACTAGGCAAAAATCAGAAAAATACTACAAAAGTAAAAGCAAATCCACTATTGTGAATATTAGAAATGAATTCTCAGATACTCAAAGATATGTTTTTCTTCTTTTAAAGGACTTTTTATCTCTTTCATTTATTTTCTAATTTGTGCATCCTTGCATAATGTAACAGTATTTTTAAACAGAATTCCCAAGTTATTTCATTATGTATATCTCTACCAAAATTGATGATATATTAAGACCAAAATGTTTCAAGTCCTGCATCATCACTGCAGAATTTTTTATTCTAATATTGAGTGACGTTACAGATAACTGTGTCAAATCAGTTATCATATTAGCGTGACTGTCAAAATCCTTTCTTTCAATGTTTTCTACTTTGAAAGAAAGTACTTCTTCTTGTTTGTTAAGACAAACTCACTTAGATGAGTCAAATTTAAATACCCAAATTCACAAAATAATCCCTTCTAAGTATCTGTAATAAAATGGAGTCTCATCAGTAGATTTTTTTCTGGAACAACCCTCACAGATTTATTGGTTCCCACACACAGCTATTGTTTAAAATATCTTCAAAGGGCCTGTTTACTAAAACAAGTGCCAATTGAGTTTTCAGTTGCACTCAAATTGCCTGTAATATGGGGCTATCATGCTGAGTGAGAAGGAAGCCTGTATCAGCTGCAGTTTGAGGTACTGTAAACAAATTGATATAAAGCACCAGAAGGTTTACACCATACCATCCGTGTTTCTTCCTCTGACTACGTAACTCAGAATGCTCAAGTAAAGCCAACAATATTTTATAAAGCAACAGTATCCTAAAGCAACAATATGAAAGGTTAACATACATTAGCAGTCTGTCTTAAAGAGTTTTAAACCACTCTTCCTTAACATTAGTTATAAAGCTGAGCATCTTCCTGTAAACAAACACAGAACATTCACTAGTGATCTCAGGTGAAGCCTGTAGTTCCTCTAATCCTAATCATATTTAAATTAAAAAGTTTTGTTGCAGACTCCTATGAGGACAGGATTTCATCTCCTCACTTTTTTTCTCATATTGAAGTCTACGTCATGGTTACCCTTGAAAGCATTAATTTGGTTTCTGGAACAAGTTTTTTATTTAAATAGCTTTATAGCTTCTTTTAAGTATTTCTCACTCTGGGAAATAAACTCAACTTCCAAAATAACCTCAACTTCCCACATGTTTCCCACTCATGACTGTTTCTGCAGAATGCTGTAGGGAGGAACGGAGAACAATGATAAATACATGAGAGATCATACTCCGAGCCTACCATTCATTATTCTTCAGAAGGCACTATAGGAGAACAATGAAGATGAGACAACAGTAACAATAAAGATGAGGCACACATCAGTTAAAAAAGAAGAATCTGTATCTGTTAATCTCCTCCAAGAATCTATGAGGATCCATAGTAACCTCTGGCGACAGGTAAACTGTTAAGATAGCCAAATATTCAAGAATTGCATTTATAGAAAAAACATATATCATGATGGCCTTTATAGTACACTCTTAATGTAAAAATGCATCCAATTTCTTTTTGATATGTTCAAAAGCATCTTTCCCCATATAGTCCATGCGCCCCTCTTCCCATTTTCTTCGCTCATCTTCTGGAATTGGTTTTGCTGGTTTGAGGTGAATAGACAGCTCTGAAACAGAATCTGCAACCTCGTTCTGTGGGAAGAAGCAGAACAGTGGGAGAACAGTCATTTGGTTGTTCTCATTTCAGTGTTGTCATGTTAAACCTTAAATGTCAAACTTCTGCTTTGTACACTCCCAGTTAAAACAATAAAACAAACTATTCAAACATCCATTCCTGTTTTGATAATGTGAGATCATTTTCCCATGCTTTTACTACTTTTCATAGAATCCAGGAACATACCAAAGACTTATTTTACTGATCTTTACTCAAACCTTGGTATACACAGCAACAACACAATAAAAATTTTACAAATATGGCCTGTTCAGAGTAGAATTTCTCCTACAACAAAGTGTAACCATTTATCTGTGCAAATCTTGTTTTCAATAGGCTTTCACGTGAACATAAATTTCTAGAATTTTTGGTCATTTGCTTTATCTGAACACCAGTGAGATCAGTATTATTTAGCAGATGTGAGACACATGGCTTGCATGAATTAATTCAAAAGATTGACACTATTCATTATACCAATAGCTAGTTCATTTTAAATGACAGTCCAAAACTTGACCTTGAACCAGGACTCACAATTATCATACGTGCACAAATGCGAGACATTATTAATGATAATTTCAACCACATAAAAGAAAAATATATTCCCATGCTTGATGAAGGCCAGTAAAAAGGGAACATCCCAACAACTATAATCTGTAATAAAGGTGAAATATAACAAGGACTAATCAAGGCATCCCCTGAAAACCTGCTTTCAGTACTACTCGAAGAGGCTCAAAGCCAAACAACTAATCTCATGTTATGAACAAAATTGAAATCAATTAGAATGACCTAGTGAAGCTCACACAAATTCAATATACAAGTGTTTCAGGACAGAACTTCATGGGCAGGAATCACTGGCTTAAACTGCCTAAATACCCTGGAATATCCATTACATCTGTCAGTTTTGGGCAGACAAGATGTAGGACTTGTGCAGACAAGGTAAGGTATTTCAAACAGCCAGCAGGACACTATATGCTTAGGTAACTGCATCCTTCCATATGTATCCCCACCTGCAACCAACTCTAAACATGAGTATATACTCTGAAGAGCGTGCTTGCTCCCTATATATGCAAACATGCAACATGCATTTGTATTTAATTTTTGAGCAGCAGTTTCTTTATCATTAGCAAGTCTTATCAACAGCTCTGGATGCAATTAACAAGAGGACTGGAATGATCATGCATTTAGAAATGAAGAATTTTAGCCAGGTCCCAAACACCCCTGGCTACAGGGGAGCTACAGATGTATTTCTCAGTCTTAAGATATTTCACCACAGTGCTTAACAATCATACAAAAGGCCTCATTAGGAAAATGGCTGTGTTGTGTAGCTTACAATTCCTTGACACCCTGTCAAGCCCATCAACACCAAGTCTGTTCCTGTTCTCACACCACCCACATGTGAAAGTGCCCATAAATGCAGTGCAATATCACAAAGGAAAACCTAGCTGGTTAGGTTACTGTAGATTCCAACAAAACCCACAACCAAACAAAACAGAACAAACAAACAAAAAACCCAAACAGTTTTGCTTGTATTAGTATTAAGTAACAAAAATTAACACCATGCATTGATTACTTGGGGGTTAGCACACAAAAATACCCATTTAAAAACTCCAAGTTTTGAAGAAAAAACAAACAACCAAACACTAGAAAGGGATCATACCCCAGTACTGGAAGCAGTTAAGAAATTACATAGCTAAAAGATTAAAGAATTTATTTGCACATTGTATCATAATTAGTTGAGATTTCCCAAAAGTTATGCTGGCAGCCAAGACACGCATGCAATCACCAACAGATGTACAATGCACAAAGCTACATGTACCAGTTCTGAGGTTTCCTGAAACGCAGGATGGGACACAGGTTGTTCTGAAGGTCTGTCAGGCTCAGAGAGATGGATGCTAGAATCGCTTGGTTCAACTTCATATACAGGTTGCTAAAATACAGCCACTGAGGTTTAATTAGGAGAATATTTTTTTCATCCATACAATACAAGCGCTTTCAGTCTTGGGGTAGGGTAAAGTAGTGATGGGAGGAAAAGCAAGGAAGCACATTATGACCAAGGAGAAAATTCATCTCACCTAGCTTTAGCTGTCAAAATGGCATTGAATTGAAATTCCTACTATAATCAGTATAGGACAAATACCTCCACAGGGCAGTTCATCTCACCCTAAGATAGGTTCAAAGTGGCTGTCATTCTTCAGTGACTACAGATACAGCCTGGAAAGTGAGCTTACAGTAGAGCCTACCATTCTTGAGGTCAAACCTCAACAAGAAAACTCTCATTTTAGAATAACAGCCTGCTCTGTGATGCATAAGCTTTTTATGTGTATGAAATGAGAACAGAACAATGTATTCCAAAACAGAGGCAAAATAGATTGCCCAAAAAATATTGTCCCAAATATTTGCCTTTGGCAAATACCGAAACATAAATGAGTAAGCAGACCCTATGTTGAAGTTTTTTCCCCCAAAACAATCTCACAAGACTACTGAAGCAAAGGAACAAAAAGTGGAGTGATGATATTGCTAAATAAGAAGAGAATCAGGCTATTTCTTTCTAATTAATATGGTCTTCTGATAAACTATCCTAGTAATTTAAATAATAATAGAAATTTAAATTTTAATGAAACTACTTTAAGTGAACATTTTTATTTTTTTACCCCAAACAAATGCCTTGATAACGTGTTCCTAGTTTGGTTTGAGCTTTCCCAATGGAGTCAGATGCATGAGGCACAGAAGAAAATACATTCTTTGCAAATAAATTGTTTTAAACTTACAGAGCTAGAAGGCTCAAAATTTTCCTTAAGCCCCTGGAAAGGGAAAGCGAGACCACAGTTTTACTTTATGGAGTAACTACAGCCTAAAGAGATGAAGCACTGAACGTATTAAAAATTGTCTTCATCTTACTAGAAAGTAGTCCACAAGTTACAATAGCAGATGGCATTAGAACACTAATTTTCTTTTCTCCCAATTGTACCTTGCGTAGCACAGTTTATCATACAAGACATAATGACTTACACCTGCAGAAACATTCTGCTATTATGTCCAACTTAATTCCTGCATACAACAAGAGGACCCAGTGCAACAGAAATACACAAATACAAGAAAAGTACAAGAAAAGACAAAAGACAGGAAGACTGCACTGTTCATTACTGGATTCTTTTCAAGACTCTCCTTGTTACCCAGTTCACAGAAATTTGGGGAACAGTTTTCTGGGTCAACATCTGAGGGAAAAAAAAAGTTCTACAGAGGAGTGATAGAAAGGATTCTAGTTTTAAATATATTAATTCACAAGACTATTAATATTCAAAGTATTACTTTGGTAACAGATTTTTTTATATTACATTTTATTAAGTACCTAACAACTTTGAATAAGTAATGTCTTCCTAAAATACAATACAAGCTCTCAATCTCCAGACACCTCAAGCATGCATGACTTAGGATTAAAAAAAGAAAAATACTCTTTAGACTATTTTGATGCCAGTAGGAAAATTCAAGAGCTACAGCTAAATTGAACATAAAATCCCCCAGATCAGAAGCATAATGAAAGAATCTCTTTTTAGTATATAATTTTACTTTGTTAATGCAAATAGTACTATGCAACATACTTACAGCTTCAAAAGTGAGTTCCTTGGGTGGAGACACTGTGGGATTTATTTCATTTGCCTGCTCTGGAAGCTCAGGTGTTTGCTGCGAGTTGGGCACACAAGGACTGACCTTCTTCAGTGTAATTTCAACTCCATTGAAAGTGTGCTAACAAAACCAAGAACATCTCACCATTAAAACACAATTTTTCAGAAAAGTAATATCTTATCTACAAGAGATGCACTTCCTTAGAGGGATTTCAGCATGAAAGGAATAAGTTAATGCAAAAAAAAAAGTGGGCAGTCCTAGATTCAGAGCACATTGCAGTTTATATTTTTTCACTCATGAGCATGCTAGCATAATCAGGAGGTAAATCTAACAGGTATTTCCACCTTCATGTTACCACATTTGAAGTATTTCTTTAATGCACAATGTCTTAAAAATAAGGCATGGTAAAGTATGAGATCAAAGACTACCCATTCCTTGCTCTGCCTTCCAATTTGTTATGATGTTAACAAACCAAATTATTCTCTGATGTTTTGATGGTAATTGTTCAACTGATCCTATAGGACTATGCAATTAGTTCAAGGATGATAATAATTTAACATTACAAAACATTAGGAAATATTTACATATACATAAATGTGATCTAATTTGTCATGTCTGGATGCAAAATTAAAAATTGTATTTCTACACATTACTTTATGATGCTGGTCCCCAAGAAATCATCTGTTTATCAACAGATTTTTTTTTATTCTATTCATGAAAAGCATAGATTGCTGCATTTCCTTCAAAGAAGAAAAAAAGTATAAAGAGATCAGTAAATGTGTCGTGACATATGAGTACTGTGTATAACATCCTTAGTGTCATTAACTCTGCTTTTGCAATCCTGATTTATTTTTTATGACCATCATGGAACAACTTATAATGCAGTTCTGAAAAGGTAAAATTTTATTACAATTCAAAGATTAGTTTGATGGTCTGTATCCACTTAGCTTCAAGAAAAACAAAAGTCTATTTGTTTCACAGCCAGCTAATCACCTTCCTCAGCTAATTTGTACCATACTTTATTTCGCAGAATCTACGCACATACATTCCCACAAAAACTATTTATAAATTAAGAAGATGGCTGCAGTAAATCTTTAAGAGGGATTTTTCCAAACTGCTACTTTGGATGCTTCTACAAGCAATCAGTGCTACTACCAATCAACAGACTACAGGTATTGGGATTACATGGCAAGGTTTTGGTAACAGGGGGCTACAGGAATGGCTTCTGTGAGAAGCTGCTAGAAGCTCACCCCATGTCTAATGGAGCCAATGCCCACTGGCTCCAAGATGGACCTGCCACTGCCCACAGCCAAGCCCATTAGTGACGGTGGTAGCACCTCTGGGATAACAGATTTAAGGAGGAGGAAAAGTTGCTGTGCCACTGGACAACTGCAGATGGAGGAGTGAGAATATGTGAGAGCAATAATCCTGCAGACACCAAGGTCAGTGAAGAAGGAGGGGTAGGAGGTGCTCCAGGTGCCAGAGCAGAGACACCCCTGCAGACCATGGAGGTCCGTGGTGAAGCAGAGATTCACCTGCAGCCTGTGGAGGACCCTATACTAAAGCCAGTGAATGCCTGAAGGAGGTTGCAACTTCACGGGAAGCCCACACTGAAGCAGACTCCTGGCAGGACCTGTGAAGCCATGGAGACAGGAGCCTGCACTCAGGTTTGCTTGCAGGACTTGTGACTCCGTGGAGGATCCATGCTGGAGCAGTCTGTTCCTGAAGGACTACACCCCATGGAAGGGAAGCCCGTGCTGGAGCAGTTCATGAAAAACTGCAGCCCAAGGCAAGGATTAATGTTGGAAAAATCCATGGTTTTCTGTGGGAGGGACCCCACAATGGAGAAGGGGAAGAGTGTGAGGAGTCCTCCCCCTGAGGAGGAAGGAGCAGCAGAAACAGCACATGATAAACTGACCACAACCCACATTGCCCATCCCCATGTGCTACTGTGGGGAGGAGGTAAAGAAAATAGGAAGTTAAGTTGAGCCCAGAAAGAAGGGAGGGATGGGGAAAAGTTGTTCTAAGTTTTGGCTTTATTTCTCATTATCCTATTCTGATTTGACTGGTAATAAATTTGATTAGTTTCCCCAAGTTGAGTCTGTTTCACCTGTGACAGTACCTGGTGAGTGATCTCTCCCTGTCCTTAAAGGGACCCATGAAGGGACCCCCCTTTCGTTATATTTTCTCCCCCTGTCCAGCTGAGAAGGGTAGTGATAGAGTGGCTTTGGTAGGCACCTGGGGTCCAGTCAGGGTCAGCCCACCACATATGTAATTTCTTCCTCTAACAAACATAAAATTTTCAGAATTTTTGTTTTTGATTTCAGCATATTCCAACCAACTCCTTATCAGTTACCTTACATTCCTCAGATTCTGATTCGTCCACCTTTTGAAGTTTTTCTAACAAAGGCAGTATGCTGGCACTGTATATATTCCACCAGAGGGCAAGAAATGACAGTTGATGAAAAGATCCAGAGGTGGTACCATCCTGCGTAACTCTCTTTGTCTGAAGGTTGTATTTGTAGTTCCAGGGCTTTGTCGCTCCCAAGAAGTGAACAACTTTGGCATCTCTACCAAAACTGTAGAGATCAATAGAGATATTTTTTTTAGCATATATAAGCTCATAAAGAAACATGCTTACTCTCACAGGTAAGGTAATTGGACATTTTGCAACAGTAACACATTCAAGATGAGTATATATTTAATTTTTTTTTCTATCTTATTAGTTTAAGTCATCTCATTTAAAATACAAAAATGTTGCATTGCCATTCACTTCCAGTTGCTCATTCTAATAGAAAAGCTCATGAAGGAAACTGACAGGCTCACGAAGTACCATTTCCAGTCCTCCTGCATGCTCTGTTCACAAACAAATACCACTTCAAATATTAAATCAACGTAATTAGTTATTACTGATTTCATATTAAGAATTACTACTAAATACATTGACCTAATTTCACCTTCCAGTAAGTGTACTGTGCAACTGAAACAGAAATTCATAACACCCTAAATCCCACTTTCTTTTTACCTGAAAATTTTTCAACTGCATTGTCTGAAGTCATATAATTAGTAGCACAAATTTCGTTTCACAGAAGAACCTAAGAAATGGTTCAAAGAAATTTAAACAACAACTCCAACTGTTTCTCATAGAAATTTCTCATAGAAATTAAATTCTCATAGAAATGAAAGGAACAAGTTTAAAAGTAAAGCTGTCACAACCTAATGCTAAAGTAATTACATCTTTTCAAACATGAAAGCAGCTTTTCTGAAAGAACATGAGACAGTGTAGAGAACTCTTGAACTCTCCCTGTGTCCAGATGCAAGACATTCATATTGCGCTTAGGTTTCTATTGCATGGCTTTTACGCAAGATCATTTGTTACTACTGTAGTTTATCATCAACAGGATATGCCACTATTAATCTCTCTTACAGAAGGATGTTTTTAAACAAACTACAGAGGTTTACATTCAGAAGTGTTACTACTTACTGATTGAAAGCAGGAATATAGGTGTATACAGCACTGCTGCTTAAGTTGTAGAGGAAAGGTAAGTGTTTGCCAATATCTGCTGTTGCCCAGTTGCTGAAGAAGCTATTCAACAGTCCTTGATCACCTCCTAAAGAACACATAAAACAGTATTACCAGTATTTTGTATTGTGTGCACACTCAAATTTATACCAAAATTTCACATCCAAGGATGGGAATGAGACTGGTGTGTTCATGGGACAGCAACTTGGGCTTGAAAATATGGCCATGTGAGCAGGTACAAGTGAATAATACCTGATTCACTCCGATGCAAGTTCAGTGCAAATGAAGTTCTATTGTAATATATGAAGAAAGGAGTAGGGTTTGGTCTCCCTCAGAGCAGAAGACTGAAGATCAGCTGTATTTCTCTCTCCTAAGCCAGACAGCAAAATTAAAACTTACTGAGCAAGATTCAGACCCAGTGTCCCTTCATTGCCCTTTTCTGGGTAACACAGTCCACATTAAATCAATGGGTCTTAAGTAGAGCATGAGAGGCAAAGTTCTGCACCTTTAATTCTTGTGGGGCAGAATTACATAAAGCACAGAGAACTCCTGCCTTCCTCTTTTCTGCCTGATAGCATGGAAACCATGACCTGCACTTCATTTCTTATGCCTTGCCCCTTACCATCGAAGCTGCCATGTTCAGCAGCAAACCGGAGCAATAGGTTGTAAGTTTTCAAAGAGGGACGGAACACAAATACTCCACTATTAAAGCAGTCAGGCCAGCCAGAATCGGGAGCTGCTGAAAACTCTTCTCGATCAAACAATTCATCAACATTGCAAAGTACCTTAGAGAGAGCAGGAAAAGGGAGAAAATGTTAGAGGAAATGTTTGTCTAAAACATGAGTAGCTAAATTATTACCAATGCACTAAATTGCTAGTTTGGTCTAGTATATGGCTTGCAGGGCATAAAAACATTGGCAGTGTAAATATGCTAGGGGTCAGAATGCCTATTTTTGATATAATAAGGCAACATTGATTATGGTTCTTCATGATTTCTCTGATGAAAGCGCAGAGCCTGTGATATTATTTCATGAACCTTGGAGACCATCTAGAAAGTCCTTTTAAATATTATAACACACCCTGAAAATACAGTTTCCTTCTTTCTTAGCTCACCTTTCATAGTTCATTTTTAGTAACTGCAACAGACCTGACTGAAAACTGGGAATCTGAATAACTTGGGCTAGCAACAGACTGACTAAAGGGGTAGTAGAAAAACTGTGTCTCGCTACCAGCTTTCTAATGTAAGTTAAGTTCTTTGTTTTTTAAGCTTCACACAGAAGGGAGAAAAATCAATCAAATTACGGCCCAGATCACATTTAAAGTTGGTGGAAAGACAGCTGTGCAGTCACTGAAAGTCAAGACTCCACCTACAACTGTGAAAACCAGAAAAAAATTTTTTTAGGAGAAAGATTACTTAATTGAATTTAAAACAAAGACAAAAATTTGCCTTACTCCTTCAATGTAAATCAGGAAATCATAAGCCTCTCTCCTCAAGAAGACTAACTTAATTTGATTTCTAATTCGAATGCAGCCCAGTCTTTCAAAGTGAGCTGTGAAAGGGCAAGGGAAGGCTGACATGATTGCCTGTGTCAAAATTATGGCCATTTTTTATCTCTATACTTCTAAAAACTATATTAAAAAAAGTAATTAATGTTTCTGGGATTTTTTTTTTCCCATTTTAAAACTAACCTGCCTTCCTGACGAGAATAATTAGGAACAAAAGTATATGAGAGAGATCTTTTTTAAACATCTGTAAGAAGCCTCTGTGCATAGAGGGAGTTTATGATCTCTTTTGAGGACAGTCCTGATGCTACTTTCCTTAAGAATGAATTTATTTTTATGCAGCCAGCAAAACTGTGAGCAGCAAATCTGGTCACTTCACAGGCCAATAGGCTGCCTGACAAGGAAGTATCCCACACTCAGGAGACAGACACAAACGTTTCTACAGCTCCCACTCTACTCACCAAAGTGTCTGCATCCATGAACACACATTTGCTGTACTGAGTAAGAGTCCAACAATGAAGCTTAGTGAAGGTTACACCCAATTCTGGCCTCCTCATCAGAGCCAAATGGACTGAGTCAGCACTGTCAAGCACATCCACCTGGATTACTTCATCAAATACACTGCGGAGGACTGACCTACCAGAGTGAGCAGTGAAGAGAAAGAAGGGCACTTAGACAACTTCAGAGTTCACTTCAGGCGTGAAAACAGTGACACATAGCACTGTACTAATTATGGCAATAACCAAGGCTAGATTGATTGGTTAGAATAAGAAGTCAGAAGTGCACAGTCCTTGCAAACAGTCTGCTGAAGAATCAGACCACAAACCATTGCCTCTTCCACTATGGGGACCAACACATCTCAAAAGCAACAGCTGCTGTATGAAGGAGAAAGCAATCCTTATTGAAGTCACTTGATCTCTTGTATAAACACCAACAGAAATTAAAGCAGCTTTCATTCTGCACAATTGATTCTAAAGAACAGCACCGTACTTTGTTCCCTCTACACTGAACAGCACTGCCAGTGCAGTCATTGGCACCTATTATGCGCAAGTAAACACAGCTTAAAAACTGCACCTTTTCAAACTGGCAACATATAGTTGCTCATGACTACAAATTATCTCAAATGAGACTTTTAGGAAGACACTTCTTTTTCTGTGCTTGTCTTTCATGGGAATTTCATAGATAACACTGAAGTAGGTAATTTTCCAATAAGAAAAAAAGTCTTTCAAACACAGGTTATTTTTTTGCATTACAATATTAACTGCAAAGTCCTGCATATCACACATACACAGAAAGAGAAAAGCCTGTGCTGTTTGAAATCTAGATTTCAGAGACATTAGCTTTTGCCTGCCTGATCTTCAAGGGACAGGAATTAAGTGAGAAAGATCTAAGAGTGGGTACAGATTTTTAGAAGGATAGTTCAGTGATGCACTTTTTAAAAAATGCTGTCTTTGATTAAAAATATATATTATAAAGGTTTTTCTTCCCACTGAATGGGGATGAAAAAAACCCTGTGGATTTAGAATCGACCCATGTGTGAAATGGATACAGTATTCCCTCGGGAAGGTGACAGTGTTCTGACGTAACAAAATCCATACTCTAAAAAGTCTGTAAAACCAGATTTTTGTGCATCCAGTCACAGAAAAATGTGAAAACATGTTCCTTGAGTCAGACACCTTGCAAATACATTTCACATGGCATACAGAAATCAGGAGCTTGCACACTGCTTAAGCCATATCAGAACTAAGAGTTTAAGTAGCTATGGCATGGCATGGCATGTTCCTTTAAACAGGTGACACAGTCCTCCAGATAACAGGGCTTGAGTTCAACAGACCTAATGAGATTGGTGTAAATGTAATTCTGTAGTGCCTGTAGAAACATAACCCAAATTGAACAAAAAGAAGTAAGAAGAAATTAATTTCTCATCATGATAGCTGTGCACCAATATTTTAAGATTACTCATCAGAAACCTAGCCCCTTAGTTTTTGGAGAGTTCTGATGTTACAGGTGGTTGTATATCTTGTTCTTTCTAAAAGAGAAACACTTGTGGAAAAAAAAATAACAACAAAACAGCAAACCAACAAACCAACAGTAGTGCCTTTATTTCGGCTCAAAAGCATTACACTCAAACCTTAGTTCCAAAATTTTCAGTTTATATTCTCTATTATGAGCTTAAGAAGACTTCCAGCCACAAGCTCTACTCCTGAAAGTGAATTCTTATTATGCTTAAAATCTTATCCTAGATGTTATTTGGGACTCCTCTCAGAAATCACTAGCCAAGGGGGAAGCCTTGTAAAATCTTTCATGCTGTTGTTTGTTCTTCCATAGTATCAAATCTCCAAAAATACATGAATACTTACCTCATCCCACTGGAAACCTCTGGTGTAATTAGAACTGCCAATTTTCTAGATGTCTTATGGTTCCTCAGTGACTGTCCGAGAACCAGAGCGCCTTGACAGTAGACGTCATCAGTAGCAAGGGTCACAAAGGCTTGATCTGTCACTGCAAGCAAATGTTCAGAAGGTTCACTTTACAGCTCTAACATAAGCTCTTTTGGCAGAGTCCCTCCTCCTCCAGCTAAACAACAGGCTGTGGCTTATAACAACCTGCAGTTTCTGCGATAAACTCTTTTCTCTCCCAAACTCCCCCAGAAGACACAATCAAACAGAAAATCCAGTGAGCGCGACTGCAGTATATGTTTCTGAATTGTGTTATTTTTGATTGCCTGATTTACATAATGACAGGTATGAAGTTTTTGGACTAGTCTTAAAAAAATAATTCTCTATGTCTTATTGCCTAAACATAATGTCAAACAAGAAAAGCCAAAATTGTACATATTTAGGTTTGAGATTTATCTAGCGTAATATAATGTAACCAATAAAGAAAATGTTCCTTTTTATGCAGTGCCAAAAGCTAAGGAAAAGAACAAGATGTTGAGTGCTAGCCAGAAATACTGTTCTTTCCATAACATCAGTGAGTACAAACCAACAGATACTATTCTTTGCTCTGTCCTCTTTGTAATGGAGTAACTGGTGCTGGGTGAACAAGTGCAGAGAAATTGCTACCAAGATTGGTACACCTCCCAGAAGCTGAGGATCCTTACCTCAAGGAACACCAAGAAAATTAGGAGTGTTCCTCATTGCGAAGAAACACTTGGGAAAAAAGTTACAATTAAAAAAAGAAGGAAAGATGCACTTCTGCACAACAGGAGATATAATGTATTCTGTAGAGATACCAGTCCTGTGGCAGTATCATTAGGGGCTGCTTCTTCAGCTCTGCCCTCTGACAGAACCACCACTACCAGAGTTCTCCTGGGATGAGCCAGAACAATGACTCAGCAAGGTGAACAGCTTCCTTGGAGCAGAAGGATGACCTCAGCATTTTAGGCTGCAAAATTAACCAGAATAAGACAAGCAGGTCACACAGATGAGGGGAATTCCACTGAGCTGTACGGAGTTTCACAAACACTTGAGTTGAAATATCGGCACTTGAACTTTGTTTAAAACCACTGTCATCCTAAGGGACAAGCAATTACATTAAATAAATCAAAACAAGCAAACAATAACAACATTAAAACCCTGTCATACAGTTTCCAGGGTCTGTGAGAGACACTGGGAAAGAATCTCAGAGAACTAGTTGCAGAGAACACAAAAAATGACCTCATGACTGCCTCAGCCAGAGGCTGCCAAAATTAATGAGCTCAAACCTTTAATCTAACATCAAGGTATGCAGTAAAGTGTGGTTGGTGCTTGTGACAAGCTCTTAGACACTAAGTATTTTCATTTTTCATGTCCTCCAAATGCAGAGCAAAGCACGGACTCACTGGTGTGCTGTCTTTGCTCCCCTTTTCGTCCCTACCTCTTACTCATCTCCAGACAGACCTGAATTCAAATGAAGCAGATTATGTTTGCTGACATTGCAACACATCTCTGCACCTTAGGAGAATCCTTGTAGTGTCAAAATTGGCCAAAAAGCCTGAATCATCCACCCAAACTCAAAATAGTTTGCAGAACTCGTAGCTAAGCAAACTCCAATAATATTTCTAATTACAATCTCCAGAAGAAGAAAATGAAAAAATTGAGCTTTCAAAACTCCTGTTATTGTAACAGCTCAAACAAGTTATGGGTGTTCCAGAAAAACAATGAATAAGGAGTTGCTTTGAAAGGACAGTCGTGCAAGTAAACTACTCCTACTGCAATTTTCCAAAAGGTTAAAGGAATAAATACAAACATCCATAAAAACCAATATAAACCAAAAAGACACTGAGGGCTACATAAGCAATAAAATTACTCTGAAAAGACACAAAAAGTCAACAAAGAAAGGCACTTTTGTGTTAGGCAACAAGCTTCTTCAGCCAAAGAAAGGTAATAAAACAGCTACTGAGAGGAATGTGGGAGGTAGGTTAATACAAAAAGCAAACTGTGAAATGAGTGGGAGTTCAAATCTTAAAATACTGTTTTAAATAACAACCACGAAGCTGAACACATAATCTTTGCATTGCTTTTGCAAATACTTTTAGCTACAGAAACTGAATCTCTACTTAAGTAGTACATATAAAACCACATAAGCTAGTCATCAAATAGTTCAGCAAGCTGGTATGGCAAATTACCACATTCTAGACATGCTTTCATGCCCTGTACCTCTGGGGCAAAAACTGTGGTCATAGCACAAGGAAGCAAACTGCCAGACAAATACTGCTTCTAAGAAACTCTTTCTGATACCTCACAAAGAAACCAAGTGTCTGTTTTGAGAATCAGATGTGGGATACATGTTATGGCCTTCTTAACACAGTGAATCATTAATTAAATAGATAAGCAAACTATTGACTGAAACAGTTCAACATTAAAATATTTCTGGTGCAAAGAAAGAAGCATGTTCTAGCTACTTTAAAATCCTACAGGGGCATTGCTAATCCATTAAGGATCCATAGTGGGGTTAAAATCAAAATATTTTATCATTACTTTTTCTGTCATCTAATCCTTTCTTTCAAGGAAGAAGTGTTACTTGACTTGCCATATTTATAAATTTCCTTAGAACATTGTCTTCATAAGTAAACATTTTATTTTTATTACTGAAAACTAAGGATCAGGTTTTCATATAAACTTGTGAAAGTAAACTGTTTACCTGAAAATCCCCATTTAACTGAAACTGAGACAATGCTGTATTAAATCTAATGTACATGAAGTTTCAATCGCTGACTTTAGGCTGCAAAAGATTTAACCTTTTAAGTTTGAAATCCAAAGGTGTAAGTATTTAGAATTCATTGCAACTGGGTTTTTTTTAAATTGCTGTGAACACCACTATGCATAACTTTTAATTCTTTGTGCTGAATGACAATAGGATTTTTTATGGACAACACCTAGTGTGAAGAATATTAAGTCTTCAAGCAAACTGTTTTCAAGTTGTGGATCCTTCTTGCTAATACCATTATCAGTGAATTATGAGAAAAGTAGGTGTATGATTAGAATCCCATTAAAACCCTATCATATGAATTTATAAATCTACTCATTTCTCTTGTATGGATTACTACACAGCATATGATGATGAGAATTAAGAAATCATTATTATCAGTCGTGGCTTCTCAGTTTTATTACCTGACAATAGTTTCTTAGATCAAAACAAGGATTTTCAAGGACGCAAGTTTTTAGAATCTGCTCTGAAGCTACACAGATAGCCACACAGAAAAGACAGCAAAAGTATGTGAATCACTACAGTCAGAGTGATCTTATGTGGAACTTATTATGTCTTTTTTAGCCAAGATCGCCAACTTCTTATGCTACTTACTTGTAGCAGTAGTTCCTCAGACACTGCCAAAGGTAGAATTCTTCAACAGGCATGAAAAGCAACTCTAGGGCATCTAAAAGCCTTACTTAGAATATGAACAGAGCAACCAGACAGGGTGGTGCTCACTTTGATGTTCAAAGAAAAAGAGAAAGGGAAATGAACCAACACCAGGTACCCATTCTGAGAATCAGGACTGACTGACAATAACAATCACTGGGTGAACCAGATGCACCTGCCAGCTTCAAGACAAGTTTAAATATGGTAGGGAAGTTTTTTCCATAATCCACTAAACAGGAATTTTTAAATGTATTTTCATATTTCTCCTGACAGAAAGGATAAATGTGCTTTGACTGTTGTTCCTAGAATAACAACTCAAATTTACCAAGCTGCCCAGTCCAAAATTGCAACAGAAGACCAGACACTCCTATGTTATAGTTTCTCTACAAGCATATTCTAAATAACACATTACCATCTCATGCATAAAAATAAGAGCAGATAAGTCAATAGCCAATAGCCTCCAGCGGGCTGGTTAGGCCCTCAGTGTGTGCTGCCCTTCATACTAACCAACATTGTACAACTGCTTTCTTAAATTCCTCCCCAGTACCATCTGTTGCTCTTTTGTCACCTCCCCCCTACTACTTCAGAGACATCCTGCAGGACAAGCAGGCTGCAGTCTGGACCTGTGCCCACTGGGCCCAAAGTACCTTCCTGAAATCTCAAGCGACAATGATGTAACACAGCCCCAGCTCACAGCACTCTCCCTAACAACAGTTTTGTTACTCCCCCTCCCACAGACAGGTCTCTATGAATCCTTCCCTGGAAGCATGCCTCAGTGAAAATGTGTTAGACTACCACAAAGAAAAAGCAAACTACAGGCCTTCTCACTTCTCTGGCCTAGCACAATCACATCTTGGAACAAAAAGCTCTGCTCCAGCTGACACCCACAACCTTACAAGCAGTCAAGAATTATTTTGTTGTAAGTAGGTAAGTGAATAATGATACCAGGTAATAACCTGTGCCAGACCCCCATCAGAAATTATTATGCAAGTTTTCAGCAAAGAGGCAGTTCTTGCCCTAGTAAACAAACAAATGACAGCTTCCTCAAGTTGGGTCCAGTAGTAGAAACATTTACATTACTAATGAAGATAAATAAGCAACACTTTACACAGACATTTTCATAGCAATATAAATTGGCATTCAGTGGAATGCAATATTTCTCTTGGCCTAATGAAATTCTGCCTGATCCAAAAGCAGATCCACTCGTATCTTTTATTAAAACAATACTGAATTTTAGTCGACAGGATTATGACTATCATTTTGGAAGAGGATTTGATTCCAATTCTTTGTAGCTTTTACTATGTATTTTTCAGTTAAGAACAGTTACATTCTGCTTCAAGACCCTGCAACTTTGTTATTCAACATAGTAAACTACCCTCATAAAAACTCAAATGCAGCATTATAACATGTAAATAAGCATAAGGCATAGCACCCAAAACCAGTCCCAAAACAGTTACATACCAGTCTGAAAAAAAGTTATAATTTATAGTATTATTAGTAGTATATAATAGTAATTACTTAAACAATCCAGAGATAGAACAGAGCAATTGATACATATCAAGGTAGGTGTTTCCAGTCTTTCCACACCTTCCTTTAAACAAAAACAAACTCCAAAACAACAAACCAAACAAACCCACAATCCTCTAATCCTTTAATTTGCAGACTCCCTTTCTGCATCTTCCCAGTGGTGCTGAGGTGCCACATACAGGAATTCAAACTTGGGATTCATCAGGCTGAATGCCTGACATCCTTCAAATCGTTCAACAAACCCAGCTTTGGGGGAGCTGCTGCTCAACCTTTTCCTCAGTTTTGAGAGCATGTTCAAGAAACAAAACTGCACCTTTACCCACCACATCTGGTTATCCCTAAGATCAGTACCTCACGGCTTTAAGGATAACCAAATAAGAATAATACTGCTGTTTTGTAAGAAGGGGACATGAGAAGGATTTCTCTGAATCTGCCTTAGACTGAGGGAGCCAACCCCAGGCTGTCACCCTGCGGATCCACCAGGAAAGCGCACAGTGACCCGAGCAGGCCAACCTGTACGTACAAGCAGAACACAGAAACGAGTTCAACTGTTTCACTCCACCATCCAGACAGTTGAAATCCCAGTCTGAAGCTGCACAGTACTCTGCTGATAAGGAAACCGCGGAGACCCTCGCCCGCATCGGGGTATGAGAAGGGCGAAAGCCCCGGGGGGCACCAGCCTGCGCTGCCGACCGGCCCTGCCCGCCCCGAGAAGCTGCTGAGCGCAAGGGGGGCTGCGGGACCCCGGGTGCCCGGCCGGAGGTACTCACCGGACATCGTGGGCAGTGCCCGGGCCGGCCGGGCACAGCTCGGACCGGGAGCCCACCTCCACCGCCGCCTCACCTGCTGGCGGCGGGCCCGCTAAATCGCCAAATGGGATTAGCTTCTTTCCTGCTGAAGGCAGTGGCAAGTGAATTACATTCGCAGGGACTCCTTGCGCAGCGGCAGAAAAACGGCATTAGCGGCAGAGACCATCGCGGGGGCGGTGTTGGCACGACCCACCCCGCCCCCGCTCCCGGCGCTGGTTTTACTGCAGGGGAGGCATCCTCCTCTTGCCCGCTCCTCTTGCCCGCCGTGCGCCCCCGCGCCGCCCCGCTCCCGAGCAGGGCACAGTCCGGAGCTGGGGTCCCGCAGCCCCCGACACGGGCCCCGCACCTGCCCGCGGCGCCCCCGCGCCCCGCGGCGGCACCTCCAGTGGGCGCGGCGCTCCCGCTCCCGCTCCATTGGCGGCCCGCGGCAGCGCCCACCCCGCGCCTGGGGGAGGCCCTCGCCTCCCCTTCTTCCTCTGCCCTCCCGGCACAGCCCGGCCCCTGAGCGCTGCTCGGAGCGGCTCCGGGTTTCAGCCGCCGAACAGAGCCTCCCCGACCACGCATATGGCTGTGCGGGAGCGGAGAGGAAGGAAGACAGGCAAAGCCCGTGGTGGTGAAGGTGGCAGAGCGTGGAACGAGGTCTTAGAGCACGAGTACGATGACTCCAGCATGGCATGCGGTCACCCAGATACATGGGGTTTGCCATAATTTAAGGGAGTCTACCCCTAACTCTCTGGGGCCATTGCGCCCCCTTATAGATACACACGGTGTGATATAACTTGCCACCCAGATAAGTAGATGTTTTCAGGGAGCTTGTGCTATTCGGAGAGCTGTAAATATTTTAAGAAATGCATAAATAAACGTGCAGTTATTCACACAGCGTGTTTCTGCCACTAACTTAGAAGTCACATAACTATAACATGTAACTCAACCACACACTTTCTCTGCAAGGTAATTTTAGGCTGATGTGGTTCAGCTGAGGTATTTTTGCATCAGCATGTGCTGTGAACATCATTAACTACTTAGCAAAGGTCGAGAACTTCAGATAGTGTGCCACTGAAGAAAATACCCAGTGGTACCACTCAACCATTTAAAAAACTTTATTTCCAACAATTTGCAAGAGATCACTGTTGCTGCTCCAAGCTGCAGCATTTGTTCTCTCACACACTGGGAGAATCCCAAAGGTCCACTGGAGAAGAGGGTGTCATTGCTTTAGTAGTGGTGAGGTGTTTAACAGAGGAGGAGCATAAACACATAGGAAATCGCTCTTTACTTAGCCCACAGAAACAAAATTCTCGGGGATCTGTCTTCACCATCAGCTTATATAGGCAAGTCAACTAAACAACATGCTTGTCAGTAGTAAGAATGCTGTTGTAGATAATTTAATTAGCAGATCTATTTCATTTGGGGGACTTTATGACCAACTTGGTAATTAATGTGATGTCATTTAGATTACCTTCTGTTTTACTTCTGTGTCACCAACTTTTTATGCAGTATAGAATAAATTTTAAATATCCGAGCCAGTAATACAAGCTAGAATTCTGATGCTCCAGCAGCTAGTTTCTATTCCTTTGTTCCTTCCCTTCCAGATTTAAATGCATTAGATCTTCCCTACATAACCCCTCAATTACCTGAAAAAAAAGTAGAAATAATTTTCACAATAATTATAATATTATTATCATCATCATCCTAGTTATAAGGATAATTAACCCTGAAAAATGCGTTTGAACAGTGGTATATTGGTAGCATGCTGATGGAATTAGATCAAAGCTTCAGAGGGTTAAACATTTGGGTAAACAGGGTTTTTCCATTCAGATTCATAGTTTTTGCTCAAATTCTCCATAATAAATCGGCTTTTGGGCTAATATTAACATGAGTAATAAATTATTTTGAAAATTCTATGAGCAATTTCAAATCAAGTGTCATAGTATGTTAGACACAAAAATGTTAAAAGTGCACATAGATCCTTCTCTAAGCAGTTACTGGGGAAAAAATAGATCATTAAGCTGGTTCTTTTTTTTTTTCCTTTAATTTGTTATTAGTTTGAAGCATTTCTTTCTCTGCCCTAGTGGAACTATATACAGTTGAACTTGTACATAGAAGTCCTCATCTGTCCCAGAAAGTAGCACACAAAACAAACAAAACTTATATCATCTTAGATAAAACACAATATGTGTTTATTGAAAATTTTCAGGAGAAAGAAGCAAAATACATTTATTTTCCTGGTTAAACAAACAACTAAAGTGGTAATAGCAAAAGACTTAGCATTTCACTAATCAAAAGTTTATGTCTACCTGGAAAAATATACATCAATCTGTTTTAACTATTAACGTGAAAAATTAGTATTTTAAAAGAAATATCGGGTCTCCTTGAAAACTATATTTAAAATATTTTCTCATTCATAAGTTGAAAGTGATAGCCACAAAGGTGTTCATTTTTTTGCAGGTTGTCAAGGTATTTCCATATTTAAACTGATGCACATTGTAATTTCTTACTTTCAGGATCAGAAAAAAGATTGTGTTAATCTAAGAAAGTGATATATATCCATTTAAAATACAATTTAGATAAATAGTAATGTATTTTGAGAAAAAAGTACTTTTCCAGCTTATGTCTTCCTCTCAACAATTTAATAAACATGAAGTCATGTTTACCTTCATCTAAATGGAAGATGGTAGCAAAACCATGCCTTGAGTACAAAATTAAAATAAAAACACAGTGATTCCCTTATACTTTAAAAAGTTAGCTAAAAAGGAAGTATTGTTAGTAAACTAATAGTTTTGTCATCTTTCATCTGTATTTCATTTATTTGCTGGTATTTTGATTCAGTTAGCTAAATGAAGGCAGAGAGGCTGAAAAAGTGTTAGTTTTCATGGTAGATTTATCTACATAAGGGCATTTGTTAGCACGGCAAGGTTGATCAGGAATGAGGCAAAAAGATGACACAGTTTTGCTAGAAAAACTATGTCAACCACATCTCCATACATGTATGAAGTTTAAAAGTTGTTGTGACTTAGAGAATGAAGTGTCATAAACTCATTCTCAATGAAGCAGAAAGCTTTGAACTCATTTTCCCTTTTCAGAAGCTATGAATGATATGGTTTTTTAAAAAAACAGTTTCCAGATTAGTGCATTCAAAATTCCTAGAGCAGGGCCCAAGTTTTCAAATAAAGAAACTAAATTAATGTGAAATTCTAGTTCCTGAGAAGAGTTAAACACCATTTCAGTAATTAAGCACTTAAATAAATAAATACATAAATAAAATCAGCATGTGTTTCTCTTATTTTTATTTTTTAAAGTGGTTTGTCAATATACATATTCTTTTCAATTTATAATAAAGTTAAGAATGAATTTTCTTTGCTAGAATTCAGACATAAATACACAGTAAAGGCACTAAAATTTTTAATCCTTTAGACAACTATAACTTTTCCTTAAATATTCTAAACATTACAGAAATATACTGAAGAAACTCAACATGCATGAATGAAAATGGTAAACTCCTTTTTCCTATTCTATCAGAGGGAATATTTTTGAGTAATTTTGAAAAGAGAAAAAGAAATTTGTTCGATGACTCAAACACTGACGAACCCAAAATTTTCCATTTTTAGCTTATAATGCACTTGATGTCTTTGTTGTTTAAAATAAATTCTAAGTCAAAATCCACATCCAACCTTTATAAATGCAGGTCAGAGAGTGCAATAAAATCCCAGGATGTTTTAAACTTATCTTTGATGACATGAAGCTCAAGGCGCAAAAGTGACATCAAGTTAGAGATGGCAGTCTCAAGAAAACATTCATTAGAAGAAGTTTTTTTTTATCAGAATGACACAGTAGAATGTCACCAACCAAAGGAGCCTGTGATCAGAGGGCAACTCTTCTTTCAGTGGTTTACACTGTAGCCCCAGCTGAAAAATTAAGATTGAACATTCATTATTTCCACTGTGGATGCTCTTTGCCAGCTTTTCAGAATATTTTTTGCTTCAGTCCTTTTCAGACAACAGGTAGAACCTTATATCCCCAGAGACACGTGGACAACCTTCCCCATTTTTCTCAGTCCCCATTTTTGGGGGCTGTAGGATCACTGACCTGATGCTTTAGTTACATTCTGGCCATAGAAATGGACAAAAAAAATGAGTGACTTTAGGGCCCCTGAGGGCACAAACAGCCTTCACAGCCCTGACCAGCCTCCTCAGGGCATTTGAGGCTATATTGCAGCTGGATTTCCCCGATGTACCCCTGCCCAAGCCTTCCCACAGTGCCTAAGCAGCAGTGGCTGCCCTGGAGCCTGCCATGGTACCCCTGGAGTGAGGCTTCCTGAAGTGCCAGGGGATTTCACAGATCTCTGAGAAATGCCTGTGAAGCTTCTCCCAAATTTCAGTCGTGTCTTAGCTATTAGTCTCATTAGGGAAAAAGTAATGTGAAGTAGAGGTTTAAATTGCCCTCTATGACTGCCAAGGGCCAGGTTGAGGCTGTTCCCGCAGAGCTATGAGCCAAGGGCAGCCAGCACAGGGCCCCCAGGCTGTTGCCTTCCCGGTGGTGGGTGTGCACAGAGGGGACACCCTCTTGTGCCAAAGGCCAAGCCAGGACACCAAGCCGGCCACCCGGACTCAGGGCTGGGATAGGTGTGTGGGGATGTGGTGCAGCCTGGGGCAGGGAGCCTATCCAGACCAGAGCTAAAATGCGGGTCCTGGCCAGAAGGTACATGGGGTACCCCTAGTGAGGCTGATCTGAGGCACCCAGGCTGTTTTCCACATGCACAGCCACAATAGTCAGGCACTTCTGTGACGGCATAGACCTCACACCCTTTACTTTGTAATTTCCTTCTCAAAGTGATGTATATTCATCTTCTGGGCATGTTATGGCTTCCCATGCTTGTCCTTGATGAAGAATATTAATTACCAGTGTCTCTTAGAGACTAGTGAGGCTGTTTAGGACAAAATTTTTAAATGCTTTTATCCCTGCCCTGTTTCTGCCCCCACTCAAATTGTTTGTCAAATTCCCATCTATTTCAGCACTAAATCAGTTGGAAAATTATTTGTTCTTACCACGTGGTTTGAAACAAAGTTTGTTATTCTTGTAAGCAGAGTAGGCTGCTATTGATCCAACAACCAATATTACAAAGGCAGAAATTATAGGAGATGTAACTCCAGCTATTAATCCTGAATCTGTGGAAAAAGAAAGAGGTTTGGCTTTTATTTCAGAGGCATTGAAATAGTCTGACTTAAGCATATTGTCTGCTAAAGTGTGCTTTTACCAAATTATGAGAATTGTTTGGTGAAACAATAGAATTAACCAGATGAATAGTAATTAAGTTACATTAC